CAGATAGGAATGGTTCTTTCCACCACACTGCACTCTGAAGATACTGGAGAAATGCTTCCATCTCAAGAAGTAAAATTGCAGTTAGAATTTTCTTGTCCAGCATCTAGACTCTTTTCTGGCTGGCTATTGGGTGTGTTCCATAAAATACTTGATTTCATGAACTCTGAGCAGGTGCTAGCAACACTAAACATTTGCACATAGCTGGCTGCAGCTAGAACATCAATAATGTTTTCTGTGTTAATTGACAGAGTGGCTGTGTAAGCTTATTCTAAAAGGGGTATAAAGCCAGTCACTGTAACATGATGCAGATCCAGCAGACTCTTGTTCTCATCCTCTGCTTGGCCTACAAGCTTGGTGCAAAAGAAATCACTGCAAGCTGCTAGTACCACCTTATGTGCCCAGAAGATTTTATCCTGTACATGAATAGTGATATCACAGAAATGTCCATCATTTCGCAGCTTATTTAGTTTTCCAAGCATTTCCTGACTGTGGGAAGAGGAGCTATGAGTAAATGTTTTCACACCCATCTTTTCCTTCCTCTCCTACAGATGCTCTTCAAGGATGTAAATGAATTAGGAATGTCTTTGATTGGGATCATGTGGTTCAGGAAGGAAACACGCCTTCAGAGCAAATGACAGTCATAATCCAGGGACCATCTGCCTGGCAACTGCAAGGTCCTGAGTTCAATTCCTGCGGGTGGGCGGCCGGCCGGGAGGCCTGCTGCTGCTCCTCCTCCCCGCCAGGCTGAGGCAGCGGCGGCGGCAACCCGGGGGGGGGGGGCGGCTGCTCCATCTCCTCCCCCGGGAGCGCGGGGACCCTATCTCGGGCCGCAGCGCCTAGGCCCGTAGGCAGCCAGCAGCTGGGGCATGGCGGGAGAGCGCGGCCGATTGGGGGCCGTTCGCCGGGGCGGGCAGCGGTTTGGAGATTGGGAGCAGAGCCACGGCTCGCGTTTTCCCGGCGGGGCGGGGTAGGGAAGGAAAAGGGGACTGAGGGGAGGAGAGGGGGAGGTTGGGAGGGAGCCACCGCCGCGCGCGTGCGGACCGGCACCTCCGCCGTTGCCGCTCCGCTCGCTCCAGCCTGTCTGGCTTCTTTGTAAAGCTGAAAAATACTCCACTGCATGGATGTCCTGAGGTTCATTCACCCTTGCCCATTGAAGGGCATCTTGATTGCTTCTGTGTTCTGGGAATTATGGAGAAAGCCGCCGTAAACACTTATATGCAGGTTTTGTTTGTGGATGTGAGATTTTAGTTCATTTGGATAAATCTCAAGGAGAGTGATTGCTGGATCGTGTGGTCAGAGGGTGCTTCATGTATCTAGAAGCTGCCACATTCTCTCTGTCAGTACTCTGCTGTTTCTGCATCCTCATCAGCAGCACTATTTCTGCTGCTTCATATACTGCAAACATCTAATGTCGTCACTGTTTTGGATTTCACCCCTTTTAATAGGCAGATAGTGGTCTCAATGTTTAATTTATAATTCTCTAATTACATCAAGTAGCTTTCCATTTGCTCGTTGCCTTCTCTTCTTTGGGAGGTGTGCAGACCTTCTGCCCATTTTTGAATTAGCTTGTGTTATGGTTTAGATTTAGATGTCCCCCCAAAGCCTCATGTGCTCATAGGTGGTGTTTTTGGGAGATTATTGGGTCATGGGTGTGTGATACTTGTCAGTGAATTCATCTGCAGATGAACTTATAGCTAAATGTGATGGAGGTGAAGCCTGGTGGGAAGAGGTGGGTCACTGGGGCATGGCCTAGAAGGGTTTATCTCCCTTCTCCTTTTATTGCTTTCTGCTTCCTGGTGCCCAGCAATGAGCTATTTCTCCTCTGCCCTGCTGCCCTGCTTTGGAGCTAGGTGACTATGGACTGAAACCTCTACAAACTGTGAGCTAAAATAAAACTCTGCTTCTTACAGTTGTGGGTGTTCGGTATTGTGTCTCTGCAAGTACTGCAACTAAGAGAGCTCCTTTCCTTCCTTATTGTTGCAATTTAAGAGTTCTTTGTATATTTTCAATTAAGAGTCTTTTTTTTTTTTTTTTTTGATACTGGGGATCGAACTTGGGACCTTGCATTTGTGAGGCAGAGAGGGGCACCACTAAGCTAAATCCCGGCCCTCAATTAAGAGTTTTTATCAGATATTTAACAAAGATTTTCTCTCAGTCTGTGGCTCATCTTTTCATTCTCTTAAGTATCCTTTATTTAGTAAAGTCCAGTTTGCCAATTTTTTCTTTCATGAGTCATGGTTTTGATGTTATATCTGAAAAATCATCACCAAATCCAAGGTTACTGAATTTTCTTCTATGTTATCTTCTAAGAATCCTAATTTATATTTTATATGAAGGTTATGATCCACTTGGAGTTATTTTTGTGAAAGGAGTAAGATCTGTGTCTAGACACGCTTCAGTTTGTTTTTTTTCAAATAGTACTAACCGTTGAACCTAGAGAATACTGAGCTACATCCCTAGCCCTATTTTCATTTTATTTTGAGAAAGGTGTAGCCTTGAACTTGAGATCCTCCTACCTCAAGTCTCCTGAGTAGCTGGGATTATACCTGGCATAAATTTTTTATGTTTTTTTCTGTGTGTGTCATATATGTGTATTTACATGTGTATATACACACGTGCACGTTAGCAGTACATAATGATTACATTCACTATGAGGAGTTGGTACATGTACATAAACCATCTTCATTCTTTTGAACCACCCCCCTTTTCTCTGCTCCCTCCATATTCGGTCCCCTTCCCATTTGCAAAAGATCAATCTTCCTGTTTCCTATTATTTTTTATTTTGCTTTTTAAATTATATATACTTTGTTTCATTCTTTTGATAAATCCATCTAAACCATGTTTCTTTTCTGTTCTGGTGGTTTTTTGCTTCTAGCACTTCTGATTCTTTCCTGGAATTTTCTTCTCTCTGCCTGCATTAGCCATCTGTTCTTGCATGTTCTCTTTTTCTTTTAGCACCCTTAGCATATTAATCATAGTTATTTTCACTTCCTGATTGGGTAATTCTAGCATCTCTGTGTACCTGAGTCTGGTTCTGAGGTTACTGTCTCTTCATGTCTCTCTCTCTCTCTCTCTCTCTGCCTTCAGAGTGGCTGGTACTGTTTTGCTGGATGCTGTCCTAAGAAAATCTGAGGCAAACAGGCCCTTTGTGGATGTTTTTTGTTTACCTGGCTGCATGTAGGCTGCCTTCACTATTTGCAGTAGCTAGAGATGTCAGAGCCTGCATTTCCTCTGGTGTCAGTTTCTGTAGCCTGTCTTTTCTTTGATTTCCCTAGGGGCTGCTTCTTGACTCAGGAGCTTCCCTGGTGTTGGTAAAGTGGGGGAAAGCAACTTCTCCAGTCCTGTGTCTGCCCCTGGGCTGTGACTTGCACACAGACCTCTCCTGTGGAGTAGGAGAACGGGTGGCTGGGGGTTGGGTGTTTCCTTCCCCTCCCTTGCATTAGATGTGGACAGAATAACTTCCTTTAGGGAGACCTGGTCGGGGAGCAGGATGCTCAGGCCTGATCAGAACACTTTCATCCCCAATTTGGCTGGCAGCTCAGGGGACCCAGTCTGCAGCCTTCATGGTAAGGACCAGGCTGGCTTCTGCAGTAAGCCATGGAAGTGTAATGCGCCTGCAGACAGATTTTCACTCAAGCCAGCATGCACTGGACTTCTGGGCTGTGGTCTCTTCAGTGTCTCCAGCCCAGGCTCCTTCAAGCTTTCAGGGGCCTTGATTTTCAGATGGGCTTAGTTGTTGGCTTCCACTTTGTTCAGCTTTTTTTTTTTTTTTTAATTGTGAAAATGGGAATAACTACATATAGGGTCATCATGTTGCACCAGAAACCAGAGGTTCAGGACATCAGCACACAGACTAATCACGTTGCATGTGAGTAGAGAGAACGAAGGAGATCGCCTGGGCCAGAGGTGTAGCTCAGGCAGGCAGAACCTGGGTTCTACCCCCCGCCAAAAAAGAATAAAATAAAGATCACTAATAGGAACGAAGTAGACACCTGTTTTATTTAATGTCAGCAATACTTTTTTTTTTTTTTGAGACAGGGTCTCATTATGTATTTCAGGCTGGCCTTGAACGCACTATGTAACCCAGGCAGGGCTGCTTGAACTCATGGAGATCCTCCTGTCTCAGCCTCCTGAGTGCTGGGATTGTAGGTGTGCACCACCACATCCAGCAGTAATACTCTTTTGAGATGGGAGCTCTGTTGACCAGGCTGTTTTGGAACTCACTGCACTTAAGAAATCCTCCTCCTTTGTCAGCCTCTGGAGGAACTCAGATGACAGGTGTGAGCCACCACGCAGGGCTCGTGATAACTTTCATGCAGCAGTGCTCTTTACTGTCTGGCTTAGGACTGTATGGAGTATTGTGCACAAATGACTCAGCAGTCTCTGTCCACCAGCACCTTTATGGAGCAGAAACGCACACCTAGTGATGTGTTCTTGGACACTGGTGGAAGGTGTCCACCCTAGGGCAGAGGCTGGTGCCCCACACTCCTGCTGGGGCTGCATTGGGTAGCCATGGTGGACTTCCCTGTGTGATCAAGACATCTCCTCTGCCAGTTCAGTGTCACACAGCTCTTTAAAATCTTGTTTAAAATCACCTTCGACTCAGAGCCCAGAGAATGAGCAGAGAGCTCAGGCAGCCCTCGTGCCACCCCATGGTGTTAACAGCCTTTGGTTCAATTATGAAACAGCGAGACCCACCTGACTACCGCCTCTGGTGGGGTCAATGTCCATATTCCCAAAGAAAGGCCAAGCGGAAGGAGGGGAGACCCTTGGAGGACAGGAGGGCTCACAAGGTTGGACACCTGCTTCCAGGCTCAGAGGAACCCTCACCCTCAGCCCTGGTCTTGGAATAACTGGGTGCGCAGCCTGAGACACCACAGCATTCAACAGGTCCCCAGTGGTTGAGGACAGTGGCAAGGGAGTTGGCAATTCCAGCTCCAAAGTTAGTTTAAAACCCCAGAGAGACAGTGTGGAACGGGGAGAGCAGCCACAACACAACATACAGTTAGAGATGTTTAATAGAAATATTAAAATAATCATTACATTTCCTCATTGCCATGAAAGAGTATGCCTTTGTAATCAAAGTAGTTTTTACATGCAAAAGGTATTTTTGTTATTACATTCTCAAGTACAGACTATATTTCAAAATAAGTTTATAGACTTCAACAGGAAGAGGCTCAAAGAAGAAGTGAAATTTATTTAAATATCATTAGAGTTACAGTGTATGCCACTGGCATACTCATATTCACAGTTTATAAAGTAAAAAAACTAGACTTTTAATGTTGGCTCTGAAATAGATCCATCTTCATTAATACATTCACCAGTCAGGTCTGTTCTTGTAAGACAGGAGGAGAGATGGAAGTAAGTAAGGGAATCCTTTACAAGGACAAACTCGACATGTCAGCAGCAATCTTCCAGTACACTAAGCTGGAAACCAGTGTTCCCAGGAACTCAAGTACAGAGTCAGTTCTCCAATGGAGTCTGGAAGTGCAACATTAACTGCAAGGCCTGAGGACTTCTGAGGGCACACTGTGTGTGACTTACACAAGAACAGTAAAAACAGAACTTTCAACTTTAAGTGCACAGCTTTGATCTTGCCAATAAAACATACTCCGCAGCATCAAAGGCCAGAAACACCACGATCTTCATCACACAGCAGTCCAACGCACCAGCCTCTGTGGCAACTTTCTAAAGTCCGAGGCTGAGTCAGGCAGCACTGCTCTGAGCTTTTATCTGGGAGGTGGGGAGAAGGTGCAGACACACTCCTGGCTGGAGAGCAGTGGCACCACAATGTGAGCCTGGGAGACCATGTGAAGTGACCCTGAGGGGTTAGGCCACCCCTCAGGTAGTGTCACACCAGCTGGACTGTGGCCATGGACAATGTAGAGAGCTTGGCAGAGTATACTTCAGGGGACAATGAAATGAATTGCAACTTCAGCTGGCCGCATGATAAACCTAAGTCCACCTTACCAGTAAATCACTTTCCTTCATACTGTGACTGCCAGATTTTCTTAGCAATTTATTAACTTCTAAATTCACATGACTGTCTGGAGTTGGGCAGGTGCTGAGGTGGCAGAGGGGGTGAGCAGCCTTGTTCCCAGTGGCACCCTGGGACCCAGGTTTGGGGCCACAGCAGCAGCGGTGGACTGGGGTCAACACTTGAAGCCATGGTGCTTTCACTCCAAACTGAGATACTCAACCCATCTGTGACACATACGAAGAACAGAGGAGGACGTGGACACACACTGTGACAGGAGGACAGCGACATATGTGAACTGGTTTTCCAGACAGGTCCCATTCAGCTAATAAGGAACCTCCTCCCCATCAATCTATCGAAGTCCAGACCAACTATGCAGATAAGAGGCCCATCCGGAGGAACGGGAAGTGTTTTCTTCCTCGCCTTTGGGAAGTTAAAAAAAAAAAAATTATTACATTTTCTCAGTGTGAAATCGATATTCTATAATCACTCTACAATATAAGCAATTAAAGTCTTTTTCACTGATTTTATGCCATCTATGCCATGTTAGTATTCTAAATTTCTCTTTTTTTTCAATGCTGGGGATGAAATCTAGCTCTTAATGCAGGCTAGGCAAGTGTTCTACTTTTCTTTTTTTGAGACAAGGTCTCAATATTTAGTCCAGGCTTGCCTCGAGCTCACTATGTAGCCCAGGTTGGCCTTGAACTCATGTTGATTCTCCTGCCTCAGCCTCCCAAATGCTAGGATTACAGGCATGTGCTACTACACCTGGCTTAAACTGGTCCTTCTTAAGAATAATTTATGATGTTGGGCTGGGCATGGTGGTGTATGCCTGTAATACCAGCACTCGGAAGGCTAAGAAAGGACTGCAAGTTTGAGCCAAGCCCTGGTAACGTAACAGTTACTGAGACCCTAACTCAAAATTTTAAAAAGGATGGAGGCGTAGTTCAGTGTGAGGCCTTGGGTTCAATTCCCGGTCCCGAGGGAGAAAAAACTGCATACACCTGGGAAGCAGGCTGTGGATATGCCCCACACACTGGGCCATGGCTCTGCTATACTTGACTGTCTGGGGGTGAGGGGTGAAGTGAGAAAGAAGCAACATGTGCTAAAAAGGTGCAATGTAAACCAGTCAACTCAAATTTTAGGACCAGACCTAATTCTCAGAGCCAGGTAACCCAGCATTGTGTTGTACTGTACGGAGTGTGGAAGGGATATAAATGACTAGCTGCCCAGGAAAGGGAAAAAGTCATTTTTTCAGGGCAAGGGATTTGCTAGCGCAAGGACCGAAGTTTGATCCCTGGTACCAAAAAAAAAAAAAGTCATACTTTCAAATCTAGTCCCAGGCTACACACAGGACAGAATGATCCAGAGTTAAAAGTCAGAACATCATGAATAAGACTGCAGCACAGCTATGAATTCTTATCCATTGCCTGCAGGCTAGTGCAGTGGCCAGACCTGGGTGTCCCCTCTGCGTACCCTGTGCAACGGTGGCAAGCCTCCCCTTCTCCTCAGGGCTGAGGTGCAGCATGGTGTCGATGACAGGAAGGAGCCTCTCCCGCTCACTGCCAGGTTTCAGGAAAATGAACTGCAGCAAGACATTCTTCAAGTATTCCAGGTTGGCCACAGACTTCTCTCGCTCTTGATTTCTTTCCAATCTTCTTATTTCACTTTTGAGAAGCTGGTATTAAAGAAATGAGTTAAAAATGTTTTTTTAGCAGCTTCTGGCTAAACATGGCAGACTGATGACATGAGGTTTTTCTTTTCTTATCCCCGAATATCTCCTCCTGCATGACAATAAAGGAGGGACAAGGAGAGGAGATAGGAAGCAGGAGAGGAGGGAGTGACAGCGGCTTCTGAAAACAGAGGACCCATCTGTGTGAACACACAATGTCCCTGCCTCAGAAGCCTAGGGCTTCAGGCCACAGGACTAGAAGCTGGGCATGGATGCAAGTCTACAAAAGAGCAGCTGGAGCTCCCTCTGCCTTCCTTCTTTGCAGTATGGGAGCCCACGAGGCTCAAGGCTGAAAGCTGCAGCTTCTGAAGCTGCTGCTCAGCCCTGAGGATGGAGGTGCAGCCCTGTGGCCTGCTCACCTGGCAATTCCCAGCAACAGGTGGGACAGGACATAATACCCTGGGCCTAAGACATCACAAATGCTAACAGGAAAATGGGCACAGCTTGATACAGGACAGGTAACAGGAAGTTCATTTCTGAGCATGATTTCCAGGTGGCCCTTGTTATGGTGCTGTATTTCATGATTTTAGGTTAGTCCAGGAAAGCAGTGAAGTCTCCTAAAATCCAGGGTCATTTTAAAAAGTGACAATAAAGTCCAAGAAATTGTGAGGATAAATCTATGGAAAGATAACATTTTATTAAAGAGGTCACTTAGGTTCACTATGCTGGTCAGTAATTAAGACACTGTTTTGATTAGTGGGGAAATACAGTTTTATGGAAATGCCTATGCAGATATTTAGTGATGAAATGTCATCGTATTTACTGTAAGAAAGTGAATAATTCAGCATTTAAAAAAATTAATCTGGTAAGGACAGCTAGCTGCCCTGCAGAGTTGGGACCGTTCTGCTTGGGGCGCAAAGTGCAGAGAAACATGCACTTTCCAGACAGACAAGAGTCTGAATTGTGCTCCACCATTTAACACCTTCATGTTGTTTATTCCAGTGATTCTGAGTCAGTGGCATTTATGTGTGTGTGTAAAGTCTAAGACCTGGGTCATAAAAACTGCTCATTAGTATGATGTTAATTTTTTTTTTCCAGTACTGGGGATTGAACCCAGGGCCTCATGCATGCTCAGACAAGCCCTCTACCACTGAGGGCTCACCAAACTTTAGGTTTTTTTCTAAGTGCTCCCTGCTTGTCTTTAGGGTCCATGGACCTGGACTCACCTGAATTTTACTTAAGCATATGTGGAACAATGATGTGTAAACATCTAATTTCTAAATCTATTACAGTTTCTTAAAGTAGGAATTAAAGGGGCATTACATAATACAGGCAAAAGCACTGAACATTTCTTACCAGCAAGAATCTAATATAAAGAATCCAAATGTTGGGCCAGGGATTTAGCTCAGTGGTTCTGCGGCCTGCTGTGCAAGCGCAAGGACCTGAGTTTGATTCCGGGTACCAAAAAAAAAAGAATCCAAATGTTACAGGTGTATCCAATTGTGAATGTCTGTATCATTCACCCAGGACACATCTGTCTGAGGGCCCTCCCCAGCATTCCCCGTGGGCGGCCATGCCCGGGTGCAGCCTCACCTTGACCTGCTCCATGAGGATGGCATTGGTTGCCTCTGTCTCCCGAAGCAGCCCATTCAAGTGCTCTGCACTTTTCGTGGTGGAGCATAGCTTCTGAACCAACTCTTCTTTGGTAAACTCAGCATGCCACAAAGGAGGCTCTGCAAGATGTTCTTAGAATTAATTTTCAAAATCAGAGATGACAGATTCTAAATAAGAACATTTAAATGTCTTACACTGTTGCAATACTGATAAGGCTACTCTCTTTGCTGTTCATCTATTCAACACACCTCAATTAAAATGCTATTTGGCTGAATGTAATAAAAATAAGATGGGGCTGGGGATTTAGCTCAGTGGTTCCGCCGCCTGCCTCGCAAGCACAAGGTCCTGAGTTCGATCCCCAGTATCAAAAATTAAATAAAAAATAAAAAATAAAAATAAAAATAAGAGACTGCTATTGTACAAGAGTAATTCCATGTTATCCCTGCAAGCCCAAAGCTGAAATGTGTCAGGCTTGCATTTTAGACATTTTCTCTTCTGTGTGGTGCTGGGAACGGAAGTCAGGGCCTGGCACAAGTTGGGCCATCACTCACCACTGAGCTATGCCCCAGCCTTAAACCTTTGATTAGTTTCATTCTGCACCCTCTTTTCATCTATCAATGTTCCATGAACTTGCGACATTTCTCTTGCAAGGGAAGCAACTTCTATGAGGTGGGGTAAGTATTACTTTTAAATTTTATACACAAGGGTGATGAGCAGACTTGGAGTCCACAAGTAACTCTGGCCACACCACAAAGCCAGGTCTGGTCTGGAGGGCAAAGCCGCTCCACTGTTCACACTGCCTGAGGGACCACGGCTCATGGCTTCCACTTGAAGTGGTCATTGACCACTGTTGTGGGTGGAGCTTCACTGTGCCCCAAAGGCTCATGTATTAAAAACTGGTCCTCAGCCTGAGATGCTATTGAGAGGTAGAGCTGGTGGAGGACATTATGTCCCCCGGGGACAGTGGGATCCCAGTCCCTTTCTGTATCTCTTTGCTTCTCAGCTGCCATAAGGTGAGCAGCTTTCCCCTATGTGTCTGCCTCACCATAGAACCCAAACTAGAGCCAGCTGAGCTCTGACTGAAACCTCTGGAAGTATGAATCAAAGCAAACCACTCTTCCTTTAAGTTGCCACCTTGCATGTTCCATCACAGTGATGGAAAGCTGCAAACACAGTGTGGATACAAATGGCCCCTACACCAGGTGGCCTCACACTTCAAAGATGACAGAGTCCCCCGAGTTATCAACAGTGATACTCATGACTGCTAAAAACACAACACACCCAAACTATGCTACATTTAGTATAGCAAAGTTAGCACATAGAGGTGGAAGTTGAGACTGTCAGTTTCTAGGGAGGGTGAGAGAACAGGTATTTACTCACTAACATCACTGGAGGACTCCAATCATCCATTTCTGGTTTCAGCCTAGGACAGAGCTAGCATTTTATTTAAAAAAGATTTGTTTTCCATTGCAGGAAGGTTTGAAGTGGCTCCAAAAAAAAAAACAAAAAACACCCCAAAACAACAAAAAACAAAATCAGAGTAAAATAGAGACAGCGAAATTAAATAAGAAAACATGTGGCCAGAGCAACTCACCAAGCTTTGTCTCAGGAGAGTTGAGCAGCTGCTCCAGTGAGGGTGCATAAGTGCTGGTGGAAGACACGGACTCGTTGTCCGCTGTCTCCATGCCTTCCCCCTCCTCCCGAGTCACCGCGTGTATGTCCAGAAGGGGCAGATCGGTGGTCCTCCTTTCTCGAAGGTTCTTCAAAGGCTGGCAAGAACCTGGGGCTGGTAAATATTTTTTTAGAAGGTAAGTGTGAGATTGTTCAAGATGGACAGATTCAGATTTAACAGACTCTCAAAAATGATCCAGGGGTTGTCAAATGATATGGAAATTAAATAACTAGAAATAGTGTATAAAGAGAATTGCTAAAAAGGTTCAAAAAATTTAGTTACTGAATTTTTAATCACTAGCTATTTCAGGAGAAGCTATGAATTAACAGCAATTAGCTGGCTAAAATAAACCACTGGACATAACAAGGCTTATAATACAGTACTACTGATTTTTATTAATTTGGGAAAGCTCTACCCATTGCCAAATACTGGTGGAAATGCTGAAGCTAGACTCCAACTATTTGGGTTGCTGTGTCCTTCCTGACAGGATGCCTGTGACAGCATGGCCCAGGTCCACCTGACCTGCCAGGCCTTGCCTCCTTCTCAGCTGGTCCCAGTGCTGCCCGCTCACACCTATAGTCTCAATGGTGAAAGCCCAAGGTCCAGCACAGGGAGCAAATGAAATACACTTCCTGGTAAGACTTTCCTGTTTGCTTGTAATGAATTATATTTTTTTTGGTACCGGGGATCAAACTTGGGATCCTGCGCTTGTGAGCCAGGTGGTGGCACCACTGAGCTAAATTCCTGGCCCTGCTTGAAAAGAATTATTTACATAGAACTGTGAAGTTTATAAAATACAGTAATTTTTTTTTTTTTTTTTTGTACTGGGGATCGAACTCGGGTCCTTGCGCAGCAGGCGACAAAACCACTGAGCTAAATTCCTGGCCCTTGATACAGTAATTTCAAGTACATTACTTAGCTGACTCCAAGAAATCTGAAGTTCAGAGAAATTTAATGACTTGTTCACTGTTCAGATAGGGACAGCAGTTCTCAGATTTTTTAAACTTCAATTTTTATTTTTCATCTCACGAAGTTGCCTATCTTGTCCTTTCAAGCCCAGATTTCCTGGCTGCCCTTCTAAAGCATTTTCTTGAGTTTCTCATATTTTGCCAACTGCTTATTCTGCTGCTGACTCCTAGATTACAACCTCCTGTCCAGCCTGTTTTGCTCTGGCTGACACCTCCTTTTTGACTGCTGGCATGTATTAAATTCTCCAGAGCCTGTTTTTTTTTTTTCAGAGACAGGGTCTTGATATGTAGTTCAGACTGGCCTTGAACTCACTATGTAATCCAGGGTGGCCTTGTACTCACAGCAATCCTCCCGCCTCAGCCTCCCAAGTGCCCGGATTATGGGTGTTCACCACCACACCCAACATGAAGCTGGTTTCAGATCCTGACAAGTGACCTGTAGCTGCCCGTGCTCCATAAACAACATTTTCCATGGGAAACAAAGCACCTATCAATGTAGGAGTCAAATATGTGGTCACTGTGGCTGATACTTTCCCATCAGTCCCTGGAAGCAGAATGGAAGATGCTGGGTAGGGCTAGACTGAGATTCCAACTAGTGAGAGATAAAAAAGGGAGGAAGCTGCATGGGTGTTTTAGGTCCCTGTCTGATATTTTCAACTACAGAACAGCTGTATGTGATGAACGGCAATGGAAAGCACCAAGAACCCAAAGCTGAATCTAGATTAGGCCCCATACTATGACACTGACAAGTTATGTTTAAACCAGACAAAAAGAAAATGCCTTTCCTGGAGGGTGATAAATCCATGAAAACTAGCATTCTTAGAGGTTACATGGACTGGCAGAAGTGTAATAGTAAAGGTTCACATAGTTCAGATTATCTTCTCAGTAAGCAAATCTAACATGCATTAATTGCAGAACTGAGAATGGTTGTCTAGTAAGTGTTCAACTTTCCTGAGAACCTGTGAACAACATGCTCAAGTGACCCACGCATGTGTGAAAGGATGAGCTAGTTGCTCCTTGGGTACATACATCGTGTGGTTGGCTCACTCTTGAGCTGGAAGAGCTGAGCTTCCACCTTGGAGAGCTGCTGCTGGAGGGTTTCCACTGTCTTCCGGTGTTCTTCCTGCAAGTGCCGCATCTGCTCTCGGAAGTTGCTGCGGAGGACCTCACTCTGGGATGACAGCTGACTCACTGTCTGTGCATGCTCAGACTTCATTGCCAAGTTCTCCGACTGGATGGAACACAGCCTGTGAGGTAAGAAGAACCCAGGTCACAGGGGAACTTCCAACTTATAAAATTGACTCAGGTTTCTGCGAAGCCCTAACGTACCTCCGAGGTGTGAGATACCCTCTCTCCTTTGCATCCAGAGTGCTGCTGGGGGGGCAGCTGCCAGCTGGTTCTTACCTTGTCCTGTGTCTCAAGGTAGACAGGAACCTTGGATGAGACGACTACTGCATGATTCAGGCAAGAACTCTCATGGTTCACCAGAAAATATAATTCTATTTAGAGCATAAGCTAATTATGCCTTAATTGGCCCACTTCTTCAGCCACTCTTATGTGGCAGCTTACATAAATAACACTTCATAAAGAGAGTGAGTCTTAAAGGAAAGTATCTGTTTTAAGTGAATTATTATGAAACACTTGAACACAAAGAGCTGGTTTACTATAGTAGCTTCCTAATCTCTCTGCACATCAGCCTGTCAAACGCCTTGATAGTAACAGTTTCACAGTTTCCAGGCTAAACTGCTGAATCAGTCTCTGGAAGTGGTCCTCAGAGTTGCCTGCTGTTAGAAAATTCTTACGAGTTAGTCTTACACCAGCCAGGGAATCTGCAATTTGGGAACCACTACTTTTAATGGCTTACTTGTAGTTTTACTGTTTTATAGGTTTGGTTTTCATAAAATAAATAAATAAAAATTCCTTTTTACCTGAGGGACCCCTGAATATTCTCTGACAGAAATCCAAACAATACAGAGAATACCTGAGACAGAGAGAGCATCCTGATATCCTGATGGAAGATGCTCAAAGAATTGCTTTCCTCAGCACCTTAATATATCATGACTGCCTCCAATTTCCTTATTACAGTAACTCAAAGTTTTTTTTCATAATAATCACTTTGCCAATATTCAAGTGTTTGAATGATTTATAAAATATGACAAATTGAAGACAAAGCTGCAAAGATAAGTTGCATATTCTTTTTCAGTATGAACTACTTAATGTCTTTCTTTAGAGATGAAGAAGAATGTTGTAAGATGAAACCTGAATGGGAAAGTAGCTTTTTGGAGGGGGTCAGGTGATGGTACTGGGGACTGAATCCAGGGCCTTCACACTGAGGTACATGCCTAGCACTTTCTCTATTTTTTGGGACAGGATCTTGCTAGGTCAATAAACTGCCCTCCTAGAGTGCTGAGGATTACAGGTATGCACTGCCATGCTTAGCCAGTAGCATTTTTTTTTTTTTTAAATGAAGCACTGTGGCCATGAAGGCAATAGGAGGGGCAGATAAACACTAAGTGGTCTTAAAAATGTTAAGTACAAAACCAATCCAGAGGGGAAGTGTTAAGCCTTTGGAAGAAAGCTTATTTCAGATTTTCATATCCATGTGTACCCCAAGGAGCAAGAGGCCAGGAGCCCCACATAGCAGGTCTGTGGCAGCCACCTTACTTTTCCCGCAGCTCCGCCTCCTTGGCCACGGTCTCCTGCAGCATGCGGTTGTGCCTCTCCAGCAGGGTGTCGTGCTCCAACTGTAGTGTCTGCAGCTCTGACATGCTGACCTGCAGGTTATTCTGGCTGTCTTGTAGTTTGATCTTCAGCTGGTCAACCAGCATTTCCAGGTGTTCCCTAAGTAGAAGTAAAAAGCTGTAAGTCACTGTTTGAAAGAAGTGAACCTCACTTTGTAGTTTCAAACATATTTTAGTCATTTCATCTTTTGATGTCATGCTCTTATTATTCTGAATGATTCTACAGGACATACAATAATAAGAATTCAGAGACTAGGGTTAAATATTATAAAAAGATGTTATTCAGATTTTAAACTTCAGGCACTATAGTTACAAAACATTCTCACCTTTTAAATTTCATATTCTAATGAAATGGGCCATTAAATTGTATGAAACTAGCCTATTTTATGTTAAAGGACTATGTCATTAGTTAAAACCCACACAGTTCAAAATTAACTGTTCTGAGAACACTGTTAGACCAAAGCAGAGTGAAAGGTCTTTTTTGGGCTTAGAATAAAATTTCGGTAAAATAGTTAAAATCTGTAATTCTGTCACAATCTGTACAGAATGCTATTACTGTCAGTTTTAGCAAATGTATTTAATGGAGTGGAGGTGAACATCAGTGGTAGGGGACTTGCCTGGCATGTATCAGCTTCTGGGTTAGCTCTCTAGCACAGAGAAAAGAAAAAAACAAAACAAAACCCCAAACTGGGCATGGTGGTACATGCCTTAGTAATCCCTGCTACTCAGGAGGCTGAGGCAGAAGGATCTGAAGTTCAAGGCCAGCATGGGCAATTTAGTGAGACTCTGATTCAAAGTGAAAAAGGGTTGGAGATGTTGCTAGAGCGGCAAGTATGAGGGTTCAATCCTCAGTACTGGGGGAAAAAAAAGTGTATCTAATGTATAAAAAAGTAGAAGGAACATAAAACATCTCATTAAAATAATGTGAACCCCAAATTCGGGCATGGTAAAAAAGGGCTCTTCCAAATGGTGACATTTTATATTTCTCAAAGTGTCAACATTTAACTTTGCCCAGGCATGTCTGCACATCTGTAATTCCAACACTTAGGAGGCCAAAGCAGGATAACTGCTGCAAATTTGAGTTCAGCCTGGGATATATGGTGAGTTCAAGATGAATCTGGAATATAAAGTGATACTCTTTCTCAAAAAACAAAACAGGGGCCTGGCCTGGTGCTACATGCCTATAATCCTGGCATTCAGGAGGCTGAGGCAGGAGACTACCATGAATTTGAGGCCAGCCTGAGCTACAAAATGAGCTCAAGGCCAGTCTTATCTCCAGAGTGAGACTTGGTCTCAAAAAATTTAAACAAGACAGGCGTGGTGGCACACACCTATGATCTCAGCACTTGGGAGGCTGAGGCAGGAGGATTGCTGTGAGTTGGAGGCCAGCCAGGGGTACACTGTGAGTTCAGGGTAGACTGGACTACACAGTGAGACCCTATTTCAAAAAAAAAAAAAAGTCTTAAAAAAATCCCCTAAAATAAAACAAAACAAATGAAAAACAAAAACCAAAACCCCAAATATTCAACTTCAGCTTTATGAGGAGCTGATAAAGGAAATATGCTCCAGTCTTTAGTCTCCACATTAAATGGGCTCCTAAACAAAGAATAGAAGATGAACAAGCATCACAGCATCGTTGGTCTTGCTTAGGACTGTAAAAGTCTGGTAGAAAAGAGTTTGAACTCTGAACCTCTACTTATTAAAAGGAGACGCACATGACATCCATGCCCTGCCTTGCTCTTGTTCTGGCACATTTCTGAGTGACTTGCTGAAGGGGGTGGATACTCAGCTGAAACAGGATTAAAAAATATGCTATTCAAATACAACTGAGGTGATACTAATTCATTAAAGAAAAGTTTTATTCTAAACCAAAACAGTACTTAATTTAAAACTTTTTTGTTTTGTTTTTTGAGACAGGGTCTTGAAATGTAGCCAAGGCTGGCCTTGAACCCATTATGTAGCCCAAACTGGCGTCAGACTCCCAGCGATCCTCCTGCCTTAGCCTTCTGAGTGCTGAGATTACAGGCAGGTACCATCATGCCTGGTTGAAACTTCTTGAAGTAAAATATCTTCAGCAATTTCTGTTTAACCTAACTAATGGTGAAAAAGTATACTGAGAAAGTGCTTTTATTCTTTTACTCTTAAATTTCCAAAATTGGAAAAACTAATCATAATTTTAATGTCTAAATATCTACTACACCAAAGTTCTATTAAGAGGAGACTGAGGTCAGAGACTGCTGGCTTCATGGTGCCCTGCGAGCCTTATGAGGTTCACAGGAGTGATGTGGAGAGGGCCCAGGTGACAGCCACTGACACCGTGAGGCCCAGCAGCTGCTCCCTGCTGACTGCACTCGAAATTCTGGTCAGAGCAAATCCCTACAGGACCCTGCCACCTGAAATAAAGCCCCAAAGGACCCCAGCATGTGGCGCGGATGTGCTGTGTGGGGAAACCCTGCTTCTAGGGTTAAACTTCACCTTTCTTGTTTCGCTCCCTCAGTCTCAGCCTGAGACACAGATTTATTTTTCTGTTGTTTCAGAACGTTATGAACTCGGACTTTGTAGCTCTCAAATTCTGAGGTTACAGCAGTTTGTTCTGCCTATAACATCAAAAGAGAGAAAAACATTTTCTATTGTAACATGATCTTATTTTCAGGTTAACAAATAAGGTGAAAACCCATTTTTGAAAATGAAGAAGATGGCTGATATTTATTTGTTTCAGCCCCAGTTAAGTTCACCAAAAAGTACACTTACATTTCAATTACACATTTAAAAAATCTTTGAATAACGTAATTTCCTCTGACAAGAGATGTTTCTACTATGTTCTCTTTCCTGGGAGACTAATTTACAACCCATAAACTTCAGAATCACACTAACTTTTTGGAACTTTGCAAAGATTTTTCACTTATCATAGCCCTTACTTTAAGTTCCTTGAACTCGAGTTTTCACATCAGAGTGGTGAAATCACATCCTAAGTCCTGCAATTCTGAAGAGATGGGGCCAGAGCTGGCTGCGCTCAGCCAGGTATTTACTCACAAGCGCCCGAGTGGACCCTGAGGATGGAACCAGGCGTGGCTTACCTTGGCAGCGCGGCTCTCCTCTTGTAGCGCAGCCACCCGCTGCTGGAAGGCACCGAGTGCACGCTGGTGCTGCTCAGCAGATGCCTTCAGGTTCTCGTGCAGCTTGTGTTTCTCTGCAGTCACCTCAGCCAGCTGGATCTGAGGGAAGACCTACAGGTTACCTCAGGAGCCTCACAGCACCCACTAGGGGAGGGGCCAAGTCAAGGATTGGAAATTGGAGGTATTATTATTGAAGAATGGAGACAACAGGAGCAGAACATTTTCACACCACAACAAGTAAACCGACGTCAATGAAAAAATCATAAAAGGCGGGTGAGACATTGAGGAACCAGGAACAACAGCAATTCAAGCATGGATCTAAGTGGTGAAGAATGTACAAAAAAGATTAGCAGGGTGAATACTGATAAACTTATAAAGGATTTTTTACAGATAGAAAAGAAAATGATAGAAACCAGTGGAAAGAATAACATACTGGAAATTCAATTAGAAAAGAGTACCTGTTTATTAAAAGTAATGCAAACAAAAGAAGCCTCAATTAAAAAAGAATGTGCTGCTCTTCATGATATCATAAAAGGGCTACAACAGACCACTGAATATCAACACAATTTGAGAGGCGAAAATGAACAACTAAAAAGAAATGCTGATATTATAAGGGAAAAGCTGAAATCTCACAAACAGGAATATAAGAATAATATTGTCAAACTTGTACATGAAATAAAAATCAAAGAGGAAGAAGAAAAGAAAAAGAAGAAAACAAGAAAAAAATTTAGAAAAGGAGGAAGAACATAAGATAGAAATAAGCAAACTTTATCAAGATATGCAGAAAAAAGTTGAATTAAATGAAGAAAAGCACAAAGATCTCATAAAAAAAAGGAGATGGAAATCTCAGAGTTAAATGCAAAGTTAATAACTCAAGCAAAAGAAAAGCAAATTGAAATAATCAAACTACAGCTGGAGTTTGATGGCAAACTAGGAAGAGTTCAGACTAAATCAAAACCATATCCAGATGCTACTATTTCCCCACAGAGTATCTACAGAAGGAAGCTTCAACATCTTCGAGAAGAAAAAAAAAAGAGATTGCAATTCTTCATAATTCCACTCACAATTTGGAGCAGTGTCTTTCTACTGGCAAAGATTCTCACCTTAAACGTAGACAATTTTGAGTATAACAGTAAATTCACTAATTACTATTTACTTTTTTTAAAAGCAATTGAAAAATTTGCTTCCATTTTCAACATAAGCATATTGCCTAACAGCCTAAATAATGAGACAGCTTTAAACATAAAAAAATCATAAAAATCCCAGACTACATATTTCATTTACATTTAATTAAATAGCTCAAGACATTCTCAAAACAGAATCTGCCAAAAAATGTATACACATTCAGGAAAAGAAATAGTATGATGCTTTTTCAACAGATGGTTACCCTCATATAGGGGACCCTAGAGGATGTCATATATTGCAGAAAACCCACTACACTGCTGGCCCTTAGAGAAGAAATTGAAAATACATGTGCAGTAATCTCAAGGACCAAGGCTCCCCAAGAAGCAGTTCACCATACTAATAAATGTTTGGAAGCTAATGGCCACCACTTTGAGCACCTTTTGTAATTGTAGAAGTCAAAAGTAACTTGTATTAATCTCATAATGTCTCAATAAATTTAGCATTATAATATTTATACAAGTTTTTCTTTTCCTGAAGTGTGTATACATTTTTTGGTGAACCTTGTATTTATATACATGAAACAGATATATGAAACCATTTTATGCACTATTTCTTGTGACTGCAATATCATTCAGAGGATTCAGATCACGTCTGGGGCAGGTTTATTTTATTTTGCATTACTCTACAGTGTACTAGAATCTTACTCTACAGTGTACTAGAATCTTATTTCATGAAAATAACCCAGCTTGAGGTACACATCATGCTTGACTGACTGCTACCACTTCCTCAAAATGACAGGGAATCTTTCTAAATCTCAGAGCAGTGGAGAGCCTTTTGGAGCTTTCAATGATACAAACAGCCCGCTACAGCATGTGTGCTGCAGGTTCGCCACCACTGCCTTAGAGGGTCACTCCCTGCTACATGGAAATCCCCTTTCAATCTCAGAAAACAGAGTCTTACTTTGTAGACTTCTCCTTGCTGCTGGCTAGCCTCCAGCTCGCCCTTTAAGGATGCTTGCAGAATGAGATGATCAGTTTCCTTCAGAATGAAAATAGTAGTTAGACGAAAAAGTACAGTTACTCATCAATAAACTGAATTAGTACTAAGATAAGAAAGAGGAACATACTGCTTGCTTTGAGTCTGCCAGCTCTTTTTTGGTTTTCACAAGCAGCTGCTTGATCTTGGTGTGTTTTTCTTCATGCTGCTGCAGGGAAGACTGGAGTGAGGCTAGACTCAGGAGGGATTTCAGCAGAGAGGAAACAGCTTTCATGAGTGCACAGACACATGCCCAATAAGACAAGTCTTCTTCATGTTAATTCTAAAAGAAACCGCTTTAGCTCTCTGATCCCAACTCCTACAGCCTACACCCCTAATGACCCTGACCCCCAGACCGCTACAGCCTAGACTCCTAATTACCCTGATCCCCCAGACTCCTGCAGTATAGACCCCTGATTACCCTGATCCTCAGACTCCTACAGCCTTGACCTCTAATCACCCTGATCCCCAGACAGCAGTTCTCATCTTTAAAAATGAACCAAACACTTTCTCCTGGTGTTCAGGTCCTTCAGGAGGTGGATCAAAAATATTCTACTTGCACTCAATCACTTCTCCCCAACTGGTGAAGCCTTTTATTTCAACTAGTAAAGACTTCTAAAACAGTAAGTTTCTGCTCACACCATGGCTGCAGGAAGGTCCTTGCTTTGCTACTCTCCTTCTCTCTCCTCGTCCTCACTGCAGTTGTTCCTGTCTACAGTCTGTCCCCTCTGAGCACGGCACTCAGAGCCAGTACTGCTCATTTCTGTACTTGGTGATGTATCAGTGAGAAAGGGGATACTGTCTTGAATAAACACCTCTTCTTAGTTTTTCCAAAAGACTGAGCCTATCTTTTAGTCCAAAATACATGGGTTTGCTAATTTACAAAACTGAGCACGTGCAACACATGAATAGAACCTAGAGCTCTGCTGCTCAATTTGTATCAAGAACTTAATTGGAAGACACAGCACAGGTACAGTGAGTGATCTGCACACTATACGATCCATGCCAGTACCTGGGCAGGGCAGATAACTGGAACTCCGCACACCTGGCTTCCCTGATTTGTTCACTGAGGGACTTGCCTTTTGTGAGCTGTGATGTGGCTGCTGGCTGCTAACACAGCATCCCCAGGAAACAGGGTGGTGAGGGCACTGCTGAGAATCCCAGTGCTTCCTATACTAGCTTTAGCTTCTCCACCACAGAGGAAGCTCCTTAGACAAACACTGCACACCTGATTCAGGCGTCTGGTATGGGGATTTCCACAGTGGTCTCTAGGACACTGGCAACAGTCAGGCTGAGCCTGGGTCCCTTTACAACAGAAAGACGTTCTCCTGCACATATCAGGAAGCTGTATCTCTCACAAACATCATGCCTGCTCTGTTACTGCGAATGCTATGAACCTCAGAACTAATGAAGCCTCTCTGTCTTTGCTCTTGCTTCTGGATGCTCAAGAACAAACTTACAAGAGACCTCTAGCAAAAGCCCATATTTTATGTATTGGTCTTTTCTCTTTTTAAGACAAGGTCTCCATATATTGACCAGCTGGCCTTGAACTTGCTATCCTCTTGCCTCAGCCTACTGGATACCTGTTACTACAAGTTTATGTTACCATGCTTGGCCTAGGTCTGATGTTTTATTTGACTTTACTATGTAGTCCTTGTGCAATACTTCCTTTTACACTATTTTCTCATCATTTATATACTTGAAATCTTACTTTGCGGAATATCTTGTAGCTACCTCAAGTTATTTTATAGAAATTCTGCTTCTGACTATGAGGGAATCTAACTTACCTTCTTGTCATAAACAAGAAACTGAACAAAATGTAAGAAGTATAAGAAAGGCCTGTAAGAAAATATAAGAAAAGGCCTTTTCCCAAGCAGCGCAGGACTGTGACCCCTGACAGAAGGTGTGACACAGAAGTGGGCCTGGTTCTTGTCCCAGCTTTCAGCACAGACAACTTGTAGATGTGGTGTAGGGATGGGAGCCTGAGGCAGAGCTGGGGATCTGCAGGGATGCTGGGGAACAATGTGGAGGACAGCGAGCTGCTCTGAACACCTGGGGCTCCTTTGGGACTGAGTCACCCTATGCCCATTAGCCAGGGGGCCTGCAAGGGCATGGTCCTTGATACAAGCTGATGCGGTAATCTGGGGGCAGGGCCGGGCTAGGTCTGCAGGGATGACTGCTCTAGACTTGCTGCAAAGAGGCCACTCCTCTAGATACCCCAAAAGGGACAGAGCTGACATACAAATAACTGCACTGTCAATGTTTAAATAGTTTTTGTTTTGGTTTTTTTAGACAGGGTATTGCTCTGTGGCCTAGGCTGCTGGCCTTTAAGCCATGATCCTCTTGTGTTAGCCTCCTGAGTGCTGGGATGATGGGTGTGTGTGTGTGTGTGTGCACGTGCGCGCGCGCTGTGAGAGTGGCAGCATTGTACCTGGTTAAAATTTAACATTTATTTTTTTTTCAGTACTGGGGATCGAAGTCAGGACCTTATGCTTGCGAGAGAGGCAGCAAAATCACTGAGCTAAATCCCTAGCCCTAAAATTTAACTTTTTAAATGAAAAGCAAAAACAAAAAACCCAAAAAACAAAATTCCACCATTAAAAATGAAAAAGTCACAGCTCACTAAAAAGGACTTTCCATACAAAGAAGGAAATAGGGGAATATGATTTATAACCAGGAGAAAATATTCAATCAATAGAAAAATCAGTAAATTAAAGAATAGAATTAGCAAACAAGGGCACTAAACCAGCTATTAAATATGCTCAAGGATTTTAAGGAAAACATGAACATAACAAAGAGAAATAGAAAATATAAAAAGATCAAATGGAACTTGAGGATGTATCTCAAATGGAATTCACAGATTAGACAGTATGTATTAGTGAGCTTGAAGACATGGGAATAAGAACCATCCCGAAGGAAGTTTACGGAGTGTGAACATACACATGAATGGAAATGAAAGACAGATAACCTATAGGACTATATCAATAACACCCCAAAAGATGACACACTTGAACAAACTATAAAATCCTATACACTGAAAAAGCTCACTAAATCACAAGCAGGCACAAAAAAGGAAGAACACAGTACAGAATTCTGTACTCAGCAAAAATATCTTTCAAAGATGCAGACAGATTAAAGACTGCTCCAGACAAAGGCTATGAGTGTACCCACACGAGTCCAGAGAGTCTACAGCACAGAGTCTACAGCATAATGCAGAACCGGGGAGAGGAAGCCATGGGCACCCTGCCAGATCCGGACACATCAGAGGGACAAGAGCATCTGCATGGGAAGCATGGGCAGGTACTGAAAAGGAAACCTCAGTGCAAACTTGGGGTCTGCAGCACAGGGGCTGGCAAACATCCCTTTAAGGCTCAGATACTAAGCATCACGGGCTTGCCAGCCACACAGGCTCCATCGGGTTACTCACCTGTGCCTGGTCACAGGATGGAGCCACCACTCACAGACAAATGGACATGGCTGTGTTTAAACAAACCCTTTACTTATGAAACAGCCGGCTGGCCTGTGGGCCAGTGTGCTGACCTCTGTTTTTTTTTTTTATTTAAAAAAGGTTTTTAAATTTTTTTTGGTACCAGGGATCGAACCCTGGCCCTGACCTCTGTTTTAAAACATAGCTATTTGCAAACAAAAACAACAGTGTATTACATACTGTTGTAATGTATTATGTAGAAACAACATGTATGATAAAAATAGCATGAGGAGGGCCGGGGATTTAGCTCAGTGGTTCAGGCGCCTGCCTCACAAGTGCAAGGTCCCAAGTTCGATCCCCGGTACCAAAAAAAAAAAAAAAAAGCATGAGGAGCTAGAGGGAGGAGGATGTTTTACATATCAGTAATCCCAGCACTCTGGGAGGCTGAGGAAGGAGGACTGCAAGTTCCAGCCTAGTTGGGAAATTTAGCGAGACCCTGCCTCAAAATTTAAAAAAAGTTTTTAAAAAGGACTGGGGATGTAGCTCAGTGCAATGGCCCTGGGTTCAATACTCTGTATTGGAAAAAAACAGCATGAAGGACAAAAGTGGAGGGAAACAAAGTACACTACCTTAAGATTCTCAAAATATATAAAAAGGAGTATGATTTATGTCAAGGTAATCTGTGATAAATTCAAGATGTACATTAAAAACCCTAAAGCAACCACTAAAAATGAACTAATAGGCTAATAAGGAGTTAAAATGGTTGCGCAAGAAAATAAGTCTAGATAAGACAGAAAAAGAGGAAAAGAACAAAATAAATAGCCATCAGCAAGGTGGTAGATTTAAACCTAATCTCAAAATAATTATGTTAAAAACAAATGGCTTAAGCTTTCAATTAAACAGCAGAAATTGTCAGCCTGGAGCGAAACGCAAGATGCAACCACATGCTATCCAAAAGAACGTGCCATATACTCAGATAGCTTAAAGCCAAAGGATGGAAGAAGACAGACCATGTACATAATAATAAAAGAAAGCTGGTGTGGTTACAACTATCAATTAACATCAAAGGAGACTTCGGAGAAAGGAGTATTAACAGGGATACAGAGCTTTCATAACAAGAGGCAGCAAATCTTTAAGAATACTTAACAATTTTAAGTATACATGTGGCCAACACCACAGTTTCTAAATACAAGAAACAAAACACTAACAGAAAAGAGAAGGGCATCCACAATTATGGTTAAAGACTGCAATATATCACCATAAGTACTTAGGAAACAGCCAGAAAGCATTAGAGACACAGAAGACTACTGAGTGACACTGACCTAGAGCATTAGAGAGAATGCTCTATGTAACCATTAATATAGTATGTTCTAACACCACACTTTCAAGCACAAAGGAACATTCGTGAAAACATACACTGGGCAATAAAACAAAGCTCAATAAATTTAAAAGGACTGAAATCACACATAGTATATACTCTAAGCAGAAGGGAATACCACTAGAAATCACTAACAAAGATATTTGAAAAAAATCCTTTAATTAACCAGCATGAGCAAGGTTGGGTGAAATACACCCAGATCATAGCTGCTCCTTGTCACAAAATTTAACTTTTTAAATATTTAGACGGTAAATAATACTTCTAAATAACCCATGCATCAAAAAAAAAAATTAACAAGGGAAATGAAAAATATTTTGATCTGAATTAAAATAATGATATATCAATTTGTGTGTGCAGCTAAAGTAGTGTCCAAAGGGAAATTCATAGCTTTCAATGCTAACATTATGGATAAAATAGAATCATCTTAAAAAGAAATATTTCACTACTAAATTTTCCCAATTTGATGAAATCAGCAACTTGTGAACAAGGATAATTTTATTTTGTATTATTCATGTAATAGGTACTTAAGTGTTTAAATAAATGAGTACATCAAACATTAATGTGGACCACAATCACCTTAATGGCAAATGGTCTCACACTCCTTCTGGTCCTCAGTAACATTTGGCAGTGGGTTAGACAACCTGGCCAGCAGTCAAAGGCTGATGGACAGCTAATGCCCTGCCCCAAACCTATTATGATGAAATAATTATATGGTAAAGTGAACTTGGTGTACTTACTCATTTCTTCTTGTAGGGTTTCTTGTTTCTGTCTTTGAATTTTTATTTCTTGCTCCAAATCTTCTATCTTGCTGTTTTTATTAGTTAACTGTTGATTTAGTTCTTTTGTCAAACGCTCATAGTCTGCTATTTCCATATTCATCAGTGTAGTCTGTTGGGCATCCTACACATTTTATAAAAGATTCACAAATTACAGGTTGTTAATTTCACTTAGAAGATTGCTAAAATGACGCCACAGGAATAAACAGGTTCTATTATGTCCTTTCTTAAAACAAAAATAGTGCAAGCAGTAAGGAAGAATGAGAAGTTGGATGCTTTCTAGTTTCTAACTTCAAAAAATATTTTCTAACAGTTCAACTCAACTTTTTTAGTTTCACTGTATTGCATTGTAACTTTTATTAACAACAAATGGCAGTTTCAGTCTTCTGGGGCTCTTTATTTGTGAAATGCAGTATTTTAAGTGGCTTTTACAGTATTTTTCTTTTTAGTCTAATTTTTTGAAAAGTAGAGAAAAATTAGCCAAACTTCTAAGACAAATTTCAAGCTGTGATAATAATTAAGTCTTCATGTGTCATACAACAATCATGTACAGAAAACATTACACCAAAATTTAACAATCCTTTAGCCTAGATTCTTCAGAAGACAGGCACTTAGAGAAATAAGTTAAAATTTCAATTTATTGAGGCAAATTATTTATAAAGGATTATTTTAGTAGCATAAATAATATTTAACGATATTCTTTAAAGTAAACCTAGTGGCTCAGTAATGTGAACACTCAATCAGCTCTGATCTGGTGTTTTACTTTACCTTTTTAACCAGCTCTAATTCTTGCATGGTTTTCTGAAGCTGTTTCTTTTCCTTTTGAAGTTGCAGCTGAAGTTCTTCAAGTTCATTTACAGTACTGGCATGTTCCTAAAATTAAAAACCATCCCCATAACCCAACCAACATTAAAAAGGCATTTGTTAGGGCTATAAATCCGAAAAAAATGTAAAAAATACAAAAAGTTTGGTAATCTTTCAGTACTTCAAAAACACATGTCCCCCAAATCAGTTAGGAGTTTGGAACTTAGAATTGGCATACATTAAGGAATTAATGATCTCTGCTGTATTCACCAATGCTATTTCTTTAGAAATCCTTTTCTTTCTTTTAAGACAGGTTCTCACTACGCAGTTTAGGCTGGCCTCAAACTTGAGGCAATTCTCCTGTCTCAGCCTCCTGAGTATTGAGATTAAAGGGATGTACCACCACACCAAGCTAGGAAGCCTTTTCTTCATTCAAGTATTTTCATAAAAGTATCCCTGTATATGTGACCAATCTCACAGGATTGTGTTTACCTTTAGCTTTTGCTCTTTCTGAAGCTTTTCAGCTTCCAGTTCTTTGTCTACCACTGCTTTGGCTCTCTGGACTTCTAAAATCTGTACTTCTAATAGCCTGGAATTGGACTGAAGTGTCTCAATACGAGCCAGGAGATCTTCATTATCAGAGCTTAATTTTTCACACTGGAATGACAAATGATTCATTACTGTAAACTGCAGAGAATATAGGTAGGAGAGGAAAAAAAAGTGCATTAATGAGAATATTGGCATAGTGTAAAAATTGAAGATTTCAGAATCAGTTCCACAGAATGACAATGTTAAATCAAGAATAAGTTTAAATAAGTACTTCTGCAGGTTTTAATATGGCAAACCTTACAAGAAAACAGATGCATCCCGGCAGAGGAAAAGGGAGATTAGAAAAAACAAACAAAATGCAGGTGATCAGAATAATAAATAAGATAGGATGGTTGTTAATCCTCTTGTCAAATTCTCCTCCTAACAAGGGAGACAAGAAGAGAAAGAAATCCTGTTTCTAACTACATTGTTTTTTTCCTTAAATTCTTTTATTGGTACATTTTAGGTATACAATACGTTTACATTTATCATTGGGTGCTTGTACCTGTACATGATGTATCTTGGTTCTTATTTTTTCCCTATTCCCTGCCCTCCCTTCACCCCCTCCACCCTTCCCTGTTTATTCATTTTTTTTCTTTTCTCATAATTTTTCCTTTCTCTTTTTTCCTTTTGCCTTCCCCTTCCACCACCCCTACCCCTTTGGACCTTTTCTTCCTATTTCAAATTATCAATTATTTGTTTTAATCATTTTAATCCTTATTCACACTTTCAGTTTCTCACACTAGAGAAACTATTCGATATTTACACATGTGTGTACTATTTATTTCACTTAAGAGTATGGCCTCGATATGCATCCATTTAGCTATAAATTCTAACTACATTTTAAGTACTTCATGCAAAAAGTATTGAGAGTAAAATACATTTATTAACAATTTTCATGACTAAATATATTCAATTTAAAATTACCTGATAAGCTGAATTTCTTAATTGTTTTGAAAGGTCTTCCATGTGATGTTCAAAATTATTAGCACGTTCTTTTTCCATATCCAACTGCTCTGACTGCTTATCATATTCTAATAAAAGATTCTTCAATAAAAAAAATTTTACTTTAGGTTATCACACATTCAATAAGTCAGGCTGTATAATCAAGCTATCCTGATGTAAAATTTGACTCCATTTGATACACTTCAAGTATTTACGAAGCAAAATATGAAAACGTAAATTTGCATATAAAAATGACACTAATCTATGAAAAGGTAAATTTACATATGAAAATGACAGAAGATCAGTGTCCTTAATATAAAAGAGGTCTTATAAATTCATCTTTAAAAAACACCTTTAAAATCTATATAAGAGCTTAACGTGATCCAGTTACATTAGCAGCTTGCTTTGCATTTTAAGAGAACCTATAATCTAATTTATTAATTACCTCCAGACATAGACCAGGTTCAGTCTACTAATTTTTTCCTTGGTAATTAGAAAAGTCTTTTATGCCCAGAAGTCAGTTAAAGGATGATTTCTAAAAAAAACTTTTCACAAAATATAGTACTTCAATCCATCCAGAACTTATTCTGATGTATACAGTGAAATAAAAACTTGACTAGTTTTCTTAAATAATTTTCCAATTTTCCTGGTATAGCATAGCTTTGTTGGTAAAAGAACAGATCTGAACAGGTGGTAAAACCCCAGCTCTGCTGTTATTGGCTCTGTGTCTGTGAGTCTCTGAGCCTCAGACTGGATCACACACTTCACAGCTGTGTGGAGCATGAAGTGTTCCAAGCCGTGTGAAGTGCTCAGGAGTGTGCCTGGCGTACGTGTTGCTGTTATGAAGAAGTCTCTACTTCTTCTAACCTGCCTACTTCCTCCTCAGAATTCTCCCTTATTACTTATTTATTACAATAAATTTAGTGTGTGGTCTTTTCTAGAATATTTAGCTTTTCTGTTAGCTTATTTTCCATTAAAACATAGAATGAAAATCCCACCAAAAATGAAAACAAAACTCTACAAGTTTTAATGAAATTATTTTATAATTTACAAGTGAATCTGAGAACTAATATTTCAAGTAATATTCATTCATCCTATAAAAGTTCTCAAGTTTCTTGGGCCGGGGATTTAGCTCAGTCATTCTGCTGTCTGCCTCACAAGCACAAGGACCTGAGTTCGATCCCCGGTACCAAAAAAAAAAGTTTTCAAGTTTCCTTTCAAGTGCCCAACTCCTCATTAAAGTTGTTGCCCAATTTCTTTTGGGTACTATGGGATATTCTTCTTGGACCAAGTCCCACTCCCACTCCTTTGCTGCCTGGTGTGCACCTTGTCCCTCTGTCTGCCTGTCATGGCCTCAGCGCAGAGTCCCTCAGGCCAGGGGCTCAGGACTGTAGGTTCCACCAATCTACCTGACTGACCACCACCTCCCCCAAACAAAATCTCATCCAGCTGTGGAAAAGTGTCTGCTGAGTGAGTAAATCCATGACGGAATGCAAAGACATTTATCTGTATGTGGCGATTTTTGGACTTTATCATTTTTATAAGCATCTCATATTATTAAAGTAGTCAAGCACATCACTTCCAAACAACAACGCTTCCCTTTTTCTGTTAGACCTCTTGTTTAAGCTTCAGGTTTATTTACTTGGCCAGAATAGTAACCGCTGCTAATAACAGTCATCATTTTGTTACTAATGTTTTTTTATTATGAAATCCCCAAAGAGAAATTTATTTTTAAAAAACAAGAGTTTAGAGGCACTATTTAAAGGTCGAACACTTTAAAATCTTGACATTATATTCCACTATACTGTGCAAAGAGAAAGGAGGAGGGTAACCAACAAATACAAGGTAGTTGTTTTTGGGGTAAGCGTTAAAATGTTTCCTACCTCACTAGTACAGACACAACTTCTTATTAAAATCACCATTTACCTTATAGCTCTCTGCTCCCTGAATGAGGTCTCTCATGGATGCAGACAACTGATCCTTTTCTGCCCGAACAGACTCGAGTTCTTCCCTTAGAGTCTGGGCCTATTTTAAATATACAGTAAAGTTCATGCTTTTCAAGAACAGAAAATTCTTGATTTTCTACAAAGTAAGATTCCCGAATATTGTGCTTTGCAGTTAGCTTACCTCTTTTCTGCTAGAATCTAATTCTTTCTTTGCCTTCACAGCAACTAGTTTTATCTTACTTATTTTCTCCTCCTTTTCTTTGGATTCTTTTTCTAGATTTCCTAAAATACAGAAAATGAAAGGCTTATATATGATGTCAGAAGACAAAAAGGAAAATTACTTGCTTATTTTAACCTTAGAAGTTGATTTTTATTTTGGAATACAAAATCTGCAGCTTGAGATTAAAATAAGCAGCCAAAACATTAGTATTAGCCAGGCATGATGGTACATGCCTGTAACTGTAGCACTCTGGGAGAGGGAGGCAGGAAGATGGCAACTTGGAGCCCAGTCTGGGCAAGTTAGGGACTTAGTGAGGCCTTGTTTCAAAATAACAACAAAAGGGCTAAGGATATAGCTCAGTAGGAAGACCCTGAGTTCAACCCTCAGTACACTTCCCCCTAAACCAACCAACCAACCACACATTAAAACCTTCTTTTTAAAATGAAAGTGTGGCAAACAATGTTTAAAATTTTCATTTTCTTAATTCTTTAAAACAGATTCACTTTATTTTTTTGAGACAGGATCTCACTATGTAGTTCAGGCAGGCCTCATAATTGCAGTGATCCTCCTGCCTCAGCCTCCTGAGTACTGGGATTATAGGCATGTACCACCATGCCCAGTTTAAAGCAGCCACTTTAGAAGTCTTTCACAAGTACCTAAGAGTTGGAGAGGTTGTTAGGACTCCTCTACTGTTGTGTTTCTTGGAAACACAGGTATGCTATGCTATTAAATGGTGATTTGTAAGCCAGGGAGAGAATGTGTCAGATGCAGCTAAATATTTATGCACACTCCTCCTCTTGGGTGGTGGATCTGATTTTACAACTACACCTATAATATGCTTGACCCACCCAATCTTGATCTTCTTGAGCTCTTCTCCTACTTGAGGGCCAGCGTTCAGGACTTTCCTTAGCTTGGGACTGCACTTCTCTGCTTGCCTGTCTGTATGTGCATCTGGGGCCCATGGGTCCAGCCCGCCTTTCAGCGAGTGCCTCCTCTACTGCTCCGCCACCAGAATGGCACTTCCCCTTCTCTTGTAGACTTTTTCCCCAGTTGAAAAAGAATGAACAAGACAATTATAGGCAAGAAATTAAGGTCAGAAACAAACAAGGGAAGCAACTAAAGAGAACAGAAGAGAGATCACATCTCAAGCACACTCTTAATTTTCCTGTTTGTTTTCTTTTTCTTTTTTGAGCCAGGGTTTCACTATGTAGTCCAGGCTGGTCTTGAACTCATGGCGATCCTCTTCCCTCAGCCCCCCAAGGGCTGGGATCACAGGTTTAATTGTCCTGTTTACAAACAAACAACATATTGCCTCGCTCTTCTTCCAGAGCAAACTGCTTCAAAGAGTCATCCTTATTTGCTTTGTTTTCCCCATGTTTTCCAAGAAGCCACTGCAAGCAAGAGCTGGCTCTAGGTACCTTGAAAATTGCCCCTATACTGCTACCCAGGGGTACCCTATACTACCTCTCCTGTCCTAACCTTCAGAACACAGTGCGCTCCAGGTCTCTACCTCACCGGCTGCTCCATGTCTCCATCATTTGAAGATGTAGAACTGTCTCCAGTCCTCACTTTGCTTCTGTACTGATTAGATGATGTCAATGTCATTGCCTTTTTTTGTTTTTGTTTTGTTTTTTGAGACAGGGTCTTGCTGTGTAGTTCAGCTGGCCTTGAATTCACTATGTAGCCCAGACTGGCCCTGATCCTGCAGTGATCCTCCTGCCTCAGCCTCCCAAGTGCTGGGATGACAGGTGTGCTCCACCATTCCCAGGTTCTTCATGGCTTTTGAAGCCCACTATTTAATGACTGACTTTTCTCTCTAGTTCTCCCCCTAAATCCACATTTACACAGCACCCTACCTGACATCTCCACATGAAATGGTATTTAACTTGTCGAAAACATCCCACCCTCTCCCATCAACCATTCCAGAAAACTGAGTCATTCCAGTCTTTTAGTGCCTTTTACTCCAATTAAATTGAGATTCCTTGTGCACCACCTTTCTTTTTTTCTTTTTTAAAAACTGTATATCCTTTTATCAGTACATTTTAGGTATACAATATGACACTCATCATGAAATTTGCACCTTTACATGATCTCTCTTGGTTCTTATTTTTTTCCCCTTTCCCTTGCCCTCCCTTCAACCCTCCATCCTTCCCTATTTACAAAGACTTTGTTTCCATTTTTTCATTTTCTCATATTAATTCCATTCCCTTCTTTCCTTTCCCCTACCCCTCCCACTTCCCCTTTGCCCTTCTTCTTCCTATTTCACATTATCTATTATACCTTTTAGTCCTTATTTACACTTTCAGTTTCTCACACTAGAGAAACTATTCGATATTTACACATGTGTGTCCTATTTATTTCACTTAAGAGTATCACCTCAGTGTGTATCCCTTTAGGTATAAATGTCTCTAATTTCCCATTTTTTACGGCTGAGTAGTACTCCATTTTATAAAAAAACCACATTTTCTTTTTCCAATCTCTAGTTGATGGGCATTTGGGCTGTTTCCAAGTTTTAGCTATTACAAACTGTGCTGCTATGATCATGGGTGCACATATATAACTGTGGTATTATTCTTTGGGGAAGATACCCACCCAGCAGGGGAATAGCTGGGTCAAATGGGACTTCCAGTCCTAGTTCTTTGAGGTATCTCCATACTGATTTCCACAGTTGCACTACACTTCTAAGTCTTCATCTCTCCATTTTTATTTATTTATTTATTTTTTGGTACCGGGGATCGAACTCTGGTCCTTGAGCTTGTGCAGCAGGCAGCGAAACCACTGAGCTAAATTCCTGGCCCTCATCTCTCCATTTTTAAATAGGGAGCAAGTGGGAAGGGTCAGGTCTTGGTCCCTGTGCATGGCACACCAATGTGATCACAGTAGGCTGCAACTCCCCAAGACTTCATAGTCTGCTACCTGATGCTGTTAATGTGCACACACAGCACCTGCTGTTCCCCCTGCCACAATACCTTCATGTGTCACGTTTCTCATTCTTTAAAACCCGAATGAAGACCCTATTCTGTGATATTTTTCCTAATTCAAAACAGGCAAGCCAGGTGTGGTGGCACATGCCTGTAACCCTAGCACTTGAGAGGCTGAGACGGAAGGATCACCATGAGTTCAAGGTCAGCTTGGGCTACACAGTAAGACTGTCTTAAAAAAACCCCTCAAAACCCTGGGACCCTGCCCTTCCGGCTCCTCTGGGCAGCAAGTGTGGCCTCCTCACTCACTGCCTGTGCCCAGTGTCTAGGACAGCTGGATTCTCAAATCACGCCTGTTCAATGTGTGAAGTCCAAAATCATCGCAGAACCATTTATGAATGGAATCACACCAGTATGCTGTTTACATGCAACGACAGAGGGTATTAAAAGGAGCGCAGAGGGTAGAGGGCAATGGGGGTGAGGAAGACACAGAATTCCTGTGTTTTAAAAATTTGTTATCTGGGTGCTGTATTCCCCAATCTAATCCAGCACTAATAGCATTTGTCTAATTAATGGTGATGATACATGGAATAACCATAGTTACCTATTTTTTCTTCCAGTTCTTTGACTGAAGAAAGTTGATCATTTTTTACAGGAGATGATTTCTCTAGGGAATCCTACATTTTATAGGAGAAATAAAAACAAAAAACAATTCATTGCATCTCATGCTGAACTGGCCATCATTTGAAGCATGAGAAAATCATTACCATGGGGAAATAAGGCAAAAAACAATTCACTCATCTTCTTGACAGACTGAGCAATGCCAACCTTATGTATATGGCACATGCTATAAAAAAGCAGTAGTACCCAAGGGCCAGATGAAAAGCTTTTTAAAGAAAATCCTAAGATTGTAGCTAAGGCAAAATAACACTAGAGCTCACTTCTTTGATCATATCTTGACCAACATATTTAAACCCCTAATCATTTAAGTTCAAGATTTAAAAATGATTTATACCTCCCAAATGACCAATGTAGTAAGCAGGATATACAACATGAAAGTATTTAGTGCATTTTTCAGATATTTGCCACTTGAGCTTAAATGCTAAATTTATTTTTATTTTGGTACCAGGACCTCATGCTTGCAAGGCAGGCACAGCAACACCACTGAGCTAGATCCCTGGCCCTAAATTTACTTCTGATTTCAAAGTGTAAAAATGTTAATATATATATTTTTTCTAGAGTCTATCACCAGAGCTAAGAATTTATTTAAATCAATAAAAGTCATAGTACCTTAAATGACATCAACTCTGCTCTTACATCTTGCAATTCAGATTCTTTTTGTTCCAGTAATGGCCTTAGGTCTTCATGTCCTGGTATAGATTTTTCATCATGGACTTCAGTTTTGCTGTGTAATATATGAGATACTTCCTCAACTTGAATTAAAAGATTGTGATTTTCAAGCTTTATTTTCTCATTAGCATTCTTCATTTCTAAAAGATCAAACTGCAGGGCCTCTTTTTCTGACAATGTCCCTTCTAACTCTTGCCTTAAGAGAACTTTCTCTTGCTCATAGTCCCTTAGTAAAGACCTAAGTTCTTCACATTGAGTGGCCTTTTCTTGAAGGCACTTAGTTTCTTTTTCTAATTCTAACACCCTTTCAAGATGCTGTAAAACCAAGTTGTGATTTTCTTCATTTACTTTTGCTAAGGATTCTCCTACAGCTTGTAGGACAAGTCTAACATCTTCATTTTCTTCTGAAACACTCGACCCCATTTGTTTAAGAAAACCATATAGCTGAGTTCTAACAAATGACTTCTGAACTTGCTCATTTTCAAACAGTTTATTTAAGTTATCTCGCTCTTCCATTGTTAACTCAAGTTTCTTTTCTAATTCAGTAGTATGTCCTTTCAGGGTAAAATCTTCCTTTTCAGACAGAAGAGCTTCTAAATCCCTACTCAACTGGTCCTTTTCAGAACGCAATCTACTATTTTCCTCATCAAGAGACTTCACTTCCAATGACAATGCTTCCTGGTCTTTAGAGAGAGTTTGCATTTGAACCATAAGTTTTTGGTCATTTTCATCCTTTTCTTTTAAAGTCTCATCTAGTCTTCCTGTCAATTCATTTACTTGTCGTTCTAGTGCACTGTTGGACTGGGTGGTTTGCTCCCATTTCTCCCTAAGTTCTCGAGCAAAGTTTTCTTCCCTTTCACACTTTTTATGCAGACTGACTATCTCATCATGAGAATTTTTAATTTTATTTATGAAATCATCTTTTTCTTCCATAAGAGACCTTATATTGGCTTCTAATTCTTGTATCACCATGTCTCTTTGACTGAGACTAAGTAAGTACACTTCATTCTTCTCTTGAAGGCTCTTTATGGTATTTTCAAGTTGTGATACTAACTCTTGTTGAGATAATAACTTTTCATTTTCTCCCTGGAGACGATTCACAGTTTCAAGAAGAGCATCTCTTTCATTAAATGCAGTCCTAAGCCTCTGCTGAAGTTCATGAACATCAGATGCTTGCTGTTGCTTCATTGATTCAAACTCTTGACTTATTTTTCCAGCAGATTCTCCCAGTTCTGTCTGTAAAATTTCCATAATCTCTCTCAAACTCTCATAATTTAATATTGCTTCTTGCTTTTCTTGTTGCAGGTTTTCACACTGTTCCTTAAGACCCTGTATTTCAAACAGTAATGTTAGTTTTTCTTTTTCTGAACCTGACAAAAATGTCTCATTTAGTTCGGATATTTCTTTTTGATGTTGTTCCTTGAGATTTTGTGCTTCTTTGTTATGCTGTTCTATAGCACAACAAAACTGTTTATTTAAATCTTCTAGCTCATACTTTAATTTTTCTATTATACAGACCTGCTCTTCTTTAGCTAGTAATAGTTCATTAATTTTAAATTCTAAGTCTTCTCGTTCATGAAAAAACTCATCTTTTATATGTTGGGCATCCATTTCAAGTTTTAATTTAAGATTATTCATATAAGTTACCTCATCTTTTAAGATACTATGTTGAGATTCCAGTTCTTTTAAGGAATCCTCTAAGTATTTGGTTTTTTCATTTATTACCTGTTCTACAAAAGTATCTTCCTGTAGGAGGGCAGGACCCACCTGATGGTCTGGATTTGCATCTGAGGTGGCTTTTCTTAGGTTTTCCAATTCACATTCGTATTTCTTGCAAATGGTCTTCTCACTGGCCTCATACTGTTTTGCTAAGTCCTCTTGCAGCTGGTTTAACTTACTTATTTCTGCTTCATGTTCTTTAGCTGATGCTTCAATCTGGTGTGTCAGTTCTTTCACTTCTTCTTGGTGTGCAGCTTTCAACTGCAAAAATTCTTCTTGCAAACGATTAACATCTCTTTGGTAATGCTGAGAATTTGCTTCCATGACTTCTTGGAGGTGAGTAACTGCTTGCTTCTTTTCATCAGTGGTGACTTCTAATTGCTTTTGCAGATATAAAATTTGTTCCTCAAAGGCTGACCTCATTTCCTGAATCTCTTCTTGTAGTTTTTTAACACTGTCTTCAGAGATACTCTGAAGTTTAAGTTGTTCTGAAAGCTCTGCCTGTTTATTTACTGCTTCTTCTAGCTCCTTTTGTAAGCCAGCCTTATCTTCATTGTGTTTGGAATGTACTGTCATCAATTCATTTTTCAAATTTTCAATTTCTTTCACATAGTTTTTGTGTGACTGTTCAAACTCCTTGTGCACATCTTCCACTTTAGTTACAGAATCCTATTAAAAACATAAGCACAAATCATTTAAGACAAAAGAAACGCTTGCCCTAAGGAAAGACATCAGTCCCAGGCTAACTGGAGAGAAGAGGAAATGAACAAAATGTACCTGGAGAATTGATACTGAGTCCAAGCACTTTGTGCAAACTCTGCCCAACTTGAGAAGAACAATGTAAACCAACAATACTAAAACCATTACAGTAATAACTGACAACTAGGAAATTTCTGAATTTTATTTTCTTTTAAAAGATGATACATTACAAGGCTGGGGATTTAGCTCAGTGGTTCCGCTGCCTGCCTTGCAGGTGCAAGGACCTGAGTTCTATCCCTGGTACCAAAAAAAAAAAAGATGACACATTATAAAAGTTGTATAAGTCATAAAGCTTCAACTAACAGCTCTTGAACAGATTAAGAGGAGATTTTTGGAGAAAATTAGTCCAGACCCACCAGGCAAGAAAGTGGAAATATGCTACTGAATAATTTAGAACTGAACAGATAATGGTATTTAAAGTTATATGAAAATCAACTTACTTTTTTCATCTTTATTAAAGAACAACACTGTAGCTTTTTTTTTTTTTAGTACCGGGGATCGAACTCAGGTCCTTGAGCTTGCACAGCAGGCAAAGAAATCACTGAGCTAAATCCCTGGCCCAACACTGTAGCTTTAAGGAAGATTAAACAATGTAATAAACAAATGTTAGCTTTATCTTTGTATAAGTGAATAATTTCAGTTACTTTTCTTTTAAATCTTAATTTTTTTTTTCATAATATAGTAAAACTATTAGATGCTTTTTAAGGTCTTAGGTAAAATCAATGAATACACTGTTTTTTTTTTTTGGTACTGGGGATCGAACTCGGATCCTTGCGCTTGCAGGGCAGGCGGCGGAACCACTGAGCTAAATCCCCAGCCCAAATACACTGTTATGAATTAATAAAAAAGAAAATATTAAACATTGCCTTACTTCAACTTCCTGTTTCATTTTAACATTTTCCTTTTTCAGAGAAAGACACTGTTGTTCAGTCTCCGCTTTCTCCAGAAGAATAGCATCTAGGCGCTCAGTCAATGCCTGTTTCAGAACAGGAAGATTTGTTTGCGTAAGGTTAAAAAATGGTGGCTCAACCACACACATAATTATCTCCTCACCATTTCCAAATCCTACTGAAGAATAATTCAAGAAGGTATAAACATAAGAACAAAGAGAAAAGGAGAAAAGATATGAGGATATGAGAAATTTCATTACATTTTTGGAAAACTGAACATGAAGAAGGATGAAATGAATCAGAACAAAAAAAGAAAGCTATAATGTAAGGGCCTGTACAGGCAGGAACCCAGAGAAGAAGGCAAAGAGTCTCCAGAAATAAAACACTCAGGAATGGAAGATACCAGGAGCTGTGGATATAGCTCAGAGATAGGGTTTGCCTAGCATGCATGGGGCCCTCAGTCAGGCCCCAGCACTGAAAGAAAGAAGAAGGGAAAGAAAAGGAATTGAAGGTAACAGGTTTTGTCAAGGAAGGGTTAATGTGTGGGGTTCAGAAACAGGGACTGGTTAATAATTTGAACAAGGAGCAGCCAGAAGAACAGGCAAGAAATAACCTGTCTCTCTTCCCCAGACATAGGTATTCTCTGTAGGAACTGAGTAGGAGAGGAAGGTAATGAAACGGAAAACAGATCCATGAGCCAAAGTCAGTTCTTTGAAAAACATCCAACAAAACAGACAGCCTTTAGCAAGGCTGACCACAAACAGTCCTGTTACTGGAAAGTGAAGAGCTACATATAAATTAGAGATTAATCAATCACTTCTCGGCCTTTTGGCTAATATTAAGTGTAGAGATTAATCGTCTGCCTTGCAAGTGCAAGTTCCCGAGTTTGATCCCCGGTACCAAAAACAAAACAAAACAAAACAAAAACCCTGAACAAATTAGGGATTAAAAAGTTAAACAGACTACTAGGAACAAATATTTGTCAAAAATATTGAAAGCTCAAGTAAAATGGATATACATTCCTAAAAAATGTAGCTTTACTGACTCAAAAAAAAATTAAGCCTAATACTGTAATCAAATGTGTGGTTAAAAATTGCCAAAAAAAAAAAAAAGAGAGAGAGAAGGAAATATAGTTTACAGGTGAGTTCTATCAAATTCTCAGGGAATAAATAAGATTATCCCAATTTCATGTGAACTTGTCCAGACAAAATAAAAAGCAAAAATAATTTCTAAGATAGTCTACAAAATCAGATACCAACATTTAAGCACTTTATGGAAAGGAAAAATAAAACAACCATTTTACCACAAATCTAGATGCAAAAATCATTAAATTAGCTTCCCCATTACCATTTCTAATTAAGAATGTACCAGGGCTGGGGATTTAGCTCAGCGGTTCTCCTGCCTGCCTTGCAAGTGCAAGGTCCCGAGTTTGATGCCCAGTACCAAAAAAAGATATCATTTATAATGGCCTCAAAGAATACCAAGAGTCTAGGAATAACTATGTAATTTGGCATTATCTAGTAAAGTAGAGCCTTTAAATAACCTTTCACACTCCAATACCATTCACTTGAGAATCCTTTGCATCTTTATACTGGAGATTTATCTGATAAATTCACAGCACTGTACTTCACTGCACAACCCCAAAGCCCATCAACAGTCCCCAAGGGAACCGCATTATAGTAAATACACTGAGACTTCTACAGCATTCATGGTGATGTGTGGTGACAGAGAGGAAAAGGCTTGTTCCAATCAACATGGCAGCTTCTTTTTCTGGTACCCGGGATCAAACTCGGGACCTTGTGCTTGCGAAGCAGGCACCAGAACCACTGAGCTAAATTCACAGCCCTAACATGGCACCTTTTTAATGACATTAAAAGCTAAAATGGAAAAACTTTTTTTTTGCTCGGTACCAGGGATCGAACTCAGAACCTTGCACTTGCAAGGCAGGCGGTGGCACCACTGAGCTAAATCCCTGGCCCCTTATTTTGGTTTTTTGAGATAGGGTCTCGCTACATAGTTCAGGATGACCTTGAACTCATGGCACTCCTCCTCAGCCTCGAGAGTGCTGGGGTTACAGACACGTGCTATCATGCCTGGCAAAACATTATCTTTAAATGGTGCTTATATATGCAATCAAACTTTATACAAAGGAAGGAAAAAGGACAAGGGATTCAGGGTGATGGTTACTTTGGGTATGGAAATTAGTAGGGTAGGAGAATGGGCAGGGATGACATAAGAAAATGTAGATTATTTTCAAAATCCTAGCTGTTTATTTTCACAGATGGTTATATTAAAAGTAACTGAACAAGAAGGAAACAGATAATGCAAAAGATCCAGAAGTAAGCTTTTAAGACAATATGAATTTATTTCCTCAGAAAGACAGAACATGTGGAATCTTAAATAAGATGCATGAAAAAAGACTATTCAGATGTCAAGAATGAGCTCTGTGAAATTAAACATTTAAACTCCAAAATAAAAATTTGAACACAGTGGTGGAAAAATGTAGTCACTGACATTTGTTAGACAAAGTGGAAAACATGCTCTAGATGAGCATCACAATCAGCTCCAGGGCACACTCCGTGGCTACCTCCTTTAGTCTCAAAAGCCAGCCACTGCTTCCTGGCCATCTCTTCTGTAGATGCCAGGAAAGCTAGGGGATCACATCCAGATCTCCTAGGTCAACAAGATGAGGATGCAAGAGCCCAGAGAAGAGGTTGTGCCCTGCAGACACCAATGGGAAACAGAACCCACCCGAGGGCTGCCTGCCTCTGATCTTTGTATGTGAAGTTCTACTAATACAACACTACTGCTTAAGAAAGCAAAAATAAAGCAGGTTTAGAAAACTTTAGACTTCTATTCCAAATTACAGCTACAAATCGAACAGAGTAGAGCAAAGGCATTTTAAAATCTTAGATAACATCAAAATTGACCTCCCAAGCATTCATTCTTAGAAAGATACACACTAGTCAAGTAAGACGGTCAATCCAGGCAGTGAGTGACAAGGGACTCAGCCAGTGGGCCCAACATAGGAAGAAGTGCACAAGTGTCCAGGGTTGCTGCCAAAGGCCACTTCCAGGAGGATGACACAGTGGCTCGAGAGGACAACCTGCCCAGCTCGTACAGGGAGACAGAAGGCTCCAGAAGGCAAGAGAGCCAGAAATATGGAGGGGTGGACGGACACTGGAGTGATGTCCTGGAGCAACAACAGGTCTCCAGGACATCTGTGACTGACACATGTGGAGGATACAGGAAACAGGAGAGTAAGTGTCTCTAAAGTCCCAAGGCACAAAAAACAGTGGTGCTGCTGGCCAACTAGAGGAGGCACCTGGTTATGTGAGGCTGAGGATTCTCCCCAGACAGCTAGAGATGTAACTGTAAGCTCAGGGTCCACAGTTGTGACCAGGAACATGGATCTACAGGACCAGGGACAAAGACCGACAGGTTTATCTGTAGGTACCAGGTATTGCAGACCACCCAAGTCTCTAGGGTGGCAAGTTTTCTGAGGGTGACAGGGTAGAGCAGGTCAGAGAATGAGCTATAACCACAATTAGGGAGCATGTGGGCAGAAGAGAAGAAAACACACCCTGCAGATAAGAGATCTAGAGGTCATTTACAGTGAAACAGAGGTAAAAATCCAAACCAAGGCCAGAGAGGAAGTGGAAAGGAAAAATAAAACAAAAAAAAACACAAAAAAAACCTCCAAACAAATTAGGGATTAAAAAGTTAAACAGACTACTAGGAACAAATATTTGTCAAAAATATTGAAAGCTCAAGTACAGAAAGCTGGGTAACCCCAGCAGGCTGCCAGCCCTCACAAAAATTCTACTCATCATCAGACATTTCCTCTAAGTAAATAAATAAATAAGCAACATTCACAGCCATTTCATTACCTTAATAATATCATCAGTTCCTCCATCAATAGGTTTTGATTTGAGTTCATCAATTTCTTTTTCCAATTCTAAGTAAGAAAAGATTCCAGTTCAGAAATGAAGAAAATAATTACTAGCTAAACTTATAAATATATTCTACAAAACCTATAAATTAGAATATATTTCAGCAGCAGGTACTTTGAGAAATATTAATTTCACCCAAAGAATAGTATTACGTTTTCTTTTCCTTTTTATCAAGGAACATTTCAAGCAAACAAAAAAGTAGAGAAAATAGTGATAATTGATGAATCTCTATGTGGCCATCACTTTGCTTCAGCAATTATCACTTGGCCAATTTGGTTTCATATCAAGCTGTACTTTCTACTTCCCCTCTTTTCTTAATCAAAGTTTTCTTTTCCTTTTTTTTGAGATGGGGTCTTGCTATGTTGCCCGGGCTGGTCTTAAAACTCCTGGGCTCAAGTGATCCTCCTGCCTCAGCCCCCTGAGGCTACAGGGACTACAGATGTGTGTCACTGTGTCCAGACACCCTGATAATTTTGAAGTGAATTCTAGACTATTATTTTCAGTTGTAAATACTTCTGACCATATAATCTTACAGCAGTAACTAACCTCATATTAAGTGTAAATGTTAATTTAAATATTTCATCAATCTATGCCTAGATCTGGTGCCTAGAACATCTTTCCAAATTACTCTCTTAAATACAAGCTGAGTGAACTTCCAAAACGTAATGTGATCTTTTTTTCTGGCAGAAAGTCTTAGATTTTAGGCAGGGCAGTTAATATTTTTATGCCATTGGAAATTCAAAAACTTATCCATTTATATTAATAAAAGACACTAATAATCTCTTTTTATTTTTGGAATAATAAGGAAGCTGAATAGAGAATCAACTTCATATTGCAATGGTAATAGTTTGTTACTGTGCTTGAGGATTCTTATTATGTCTTCAAGTTTAAGACTTTGTGTCTCATGTCAACTGACTCCCCTAGAAAATGTCCTTGAGAAGACTCTACAATGCATATGAAGGAAAAAGTGCTGTAACTTTACAAAGTTTAAAAAATATCTTCTTCCCTAACTTTAACAACTCAGAAGTAGTTGTAGTTTAGATATGTGAAATAATAATCAGAGGTAAATGGTTAGAATGTTAAGTCACCCAGTACAGTGAGTAAGATGCATTTGAAATCACAAGAAAATAAAAACAGGCCAATGCACTACTTAAAAAACTACCATATTTAGCCAAGATGAATATTTTCAAGCCAATACCTGTACACCTTGATTTCGCCTTTTGTAACAGCATCATCTGCTTCTTGGCGAACTTGATGAGATCTTCCTTGGGCAGGGTTTCCAGCTGAAAGATATTACCAACTTGTTATAACTCATGCTTGTAGAATGTCACAAAAAGAAACATAATGTCTGTCTAAAAATCAAGACATTATGCTGAACAAAACTTTACACCAAACAAATGTCACACCTTCATTCTGTATTTCTAAAAAATAGCAAGTCCAACTTCAACTCAGTAATTTTTAGTAGGCAAAAAACAGCCCAAAATCTGTAACAGATAGTGATGTAAGAGGCTGACACTTTCTAGGTTTTGATTTAACTGTACAAATAGGGGTTGGAACTAGTGCTACTTTAAAGCTGTAAAATTCATTTTATTCCAAGCTGAAAATTGTCTCTGGCTATGTGAAAACTTAAGCATAATTACAGCAACAAGATGAATCAGGGAACATTTAGGCTCTAACTAAAAATTTGGGCTTTACCACTTTTGAAAATTACTTTACCTGTGTGGGGCTCAAGTTTTCTCATTTGTAAAATAAGAATAGCAGCAGCACCCACCTCATGGTTACCAGGAACCTTAGGTGAAGGAACTGGGCGTTTGGACAAGTCCCCGAAATTCAGCATGCAAATAAACCTTAGCAATAAGCCAGTATTATCTGGAATCCTTGAACAATAAATTTAGCAATAAGCCACTATCATTTGAAATCGTTTAGAGTTAAACACTGTGCGGGGCCATAAAAATGACCTGATTCACCTCTCCCTTTTCACGATGTGGGAATTGAGCCCAAAGTATTACAGTCCCTGCTCTTTCCATCTCATTGCTATTTAAACCTTCATAAAGTACAGTTTTACCTAATGTTCAACACACGGCAAGATCTGTTTAACGTTTGAAAACCTGCAGTGCTAACCAGAGCATAAAGTAAACAGAAAGTGTGTCCGTGTCAGGAAACTTTAAAAAAAGAAACGAAAGAACATCAGGAAATGGATGGGTGACTCTAAAGCAAAGCTGGGTCCCCTGGGAGAAAGGAGTGGTTTGTAAATAGGCCGCGGGTCTCCAGCCAGTTTCCAGCCCCCGCCCGCCCGCGCCTTCTCCCACCTTGGATTTCGTGGCGCCGGGGACGGCTGGGGCGGCCACCCCGTCCTGGGCAGGGTCCTGCAAAACAAGCCAAGTCGGGTGTCAGCTGGCTCCGTTCCCACCTGAAGGTCTGGTCACGATCCGCAAGTGAGGAGGGGGACAAGGCGGACGAGGAGAGGACGGGGCAGACAGACATCAAGGTGACAGGGCTCGGAATCGCTTTGCCTCCCTTCGGCGCTGCCACTCCCGCCTACGCGTCCTCAGTGCGGGCCTTCTGTCCCTTCAGAACTCCTGGCCCCTATCCCAGTCCTCCAGTCCCCTCGCTGCCCCTCGGTACCAGCCCTGTTACCTCCATTCCTGCGGCGCAGTCCCCAACACCGAGTCACCACCTCCGCTGCGCTTCCGTCAGCGACCGTGGCTGACGTAGCCGTGACCGCGGGTCATAGGTCGTTCTCTCCGTGCGCCCCCGCCCACTCGTCGCCATGGCTACAGCTGGCGGCACTTCCGCTTCCTCCGTGAGTCCGGGAGGCGGTTCCGCTCTGGCTGAGCAGCCTGGGGAGGGCCTTCGGTCGGCTTGTGCCGCTGGTCTGGTGAAGGAGCGTGGCGGGGAGGGTCTCCGAGGTGTTACTGACGCCCGGGGAGCTCCCCGTTCGTGGTCGGTGTGCCCCGAGGCCAGCACCTCTCAGGGGCTCCCACTCTTTTGAGTTTCCATTTCTCTCGTGGCGGGGGCTGAGCGCCCGGCCGTGGGGACACCGGTCCTTTGAGGCCAGGAGCAGCCCTTGTTGGGGCTCCGTGGCCAGCGCAAAGCTGCTTCCTAAGGAAACCCCCTTTGGCCATGCTGGAGGCCGCAAGTCCACACCGAGGCTGCCTGGTGTCCACCTAGCCCTAGCTCAGGGCGATGTGAAGGCTCGGGACCCGCGGATGAGGACGCCTCGGCCACACAGTGCCCAGGAAGCTCCTGCTCAGAGGGCGACTGTTCAGAAGAACCCGGGGGGAAGCCCGCACGGAGCGGGGATGTCTGGGCCCCGGAAAGATTGGCGCGGCCTTGGGCTCCCATTAGTGGAAAAGGGGGCAAATAGCAATCTTTCCTTGACTCCTATAGTGACTGATAAATACCCTACATAGTTCCAATAAACTACTCATTACCAGGCCCCTCAATTTTGTTGGGGTTCCTCAGGCCCCCATACTATCTAAGGTATGACACTGCATTCAAGGCCATTAAAACAGTGGCTTCTGACTGGCCGATGCGCAGCATTGTCTCTGTTGTGAATGCTTTGGACATCTGCGTTAGCACCAAATCCTGACCCGTCCAGTGGCTCTTCAGGCACACAACCCAGCCATTCTTACACAGCCAGCCCTGAGACACCGGAGGAACAATGCGACAGGACATCCTGCAACCCAAAGAGGCCACTTCAACTCCACCCCTACCAAGAACCTGGCCCATCCCAAGTGACTTTGGACATTCCTGCCCCACTAGGAACCAGGAAGGTTGGTGGCTTGGATGTCTTCCCAACAGTCATAAAAATTTGAGTGCCTTGCTCAACACGTTCTCTTTTGGATCCAGAAGGCTCCATGTGGACTTCAGTTCCTTCTGCAGAAAGGAAGACCTCTGTCCAATTCCCAAGCATCATTCTTTTCAAAGCACGTGAGCAGAGAGAAGAAAGGAGGGGCCCATGATGCAGAGGGAGAGTGGCATCTTATCAGTTAAGGAGGTGTTACATTTTGTTTTGAGCTGAGCCCTGACTGCTTGAGAATCAACCAGATGAACTTCTAATGTTCATGACCCATCAAAAGCTCTATTATTCTCATTGCTAACACCATTTGTTTCAAAGGTACATCTTTAATAGTCCAGATTTTAAAAACCCTGAGTTTCTGTGCTAAAAGATTGAGCAGGGGAAATGTGAGAAGTCCATGCAGAATTGTCTTGTTAACAGCTTGTATCCTGTGACCTTGCTAAACTCACTTATTAGTTGTAGGAGGTTTTCTGAAGATTGTTTTCATGGATATATATATATATATATATTTATGTAATCATGTCATCTGTGAAGAGGAACACTTTTCTGCCTTTTCAATAGTGCACCTTTTCAACTATTGCTTGCTTTCTCTCTTTATAGCATAGACTAAGACTTCCAGCACTGTGTTGAATAGGAATGCACATGCCTTATCTGATCCATGGGGGAAAGCAGTCTTTCACCAAGGAATATATTCACTGTGTTTTTTTCAGATGTCTTTTATGAACCTTCTGTGTCTGCAACTAAAAAATAAACTTTTTATGTCACCATTGTGTCTTTATTATGAAAATTAAATGTAGATCTGGTGAAATAAAAATATGACCTTCCTATTCTGCACTTCTAGGAATGGATCTGCCCCTGTGGTATCCTTTTTGGCTAAGTGACCTGCTCTCTTTTATGTACTCTTAGATGACACTGTTGGTATATATAAACTTTTAGGTGTGACCCAAAAAGGTTATAGCCTTGTTATTTAGGGCCTCTGTTCCATTGTGGTAACATGTCCAGGGAGATGGCTACATTTTTTCGTTTATCTCTGCCTACCCCAAACACATGCACACCTATGTATATTCATCATCCATCTTCAGTAATTGATAATTTATGGTCAATCTTGTTTCACTTTTCACATCTATGGCCTAATTTTCCATATTATTTTGAAATAAGTCCAGGAAGTCATATTTAATTTGTGTGTATATTTCTAAGTGTATCTCTACAAGACAAGACATTTTGTGAAAAGTAGAAAAACATTGTTCACACAAATAAATGAATCCCTAATATTACCACGTTCCCAATCAGTGTTCAGATTTTCCAGATTTTCTTATTAAAATACTCTTTTAGGGTTTGGTTGCTTGGTTCAGATTTTAAGCAGGGACTATATATTACAATTGTATTCATATATAACTTAAGTCTCTTTTAATCCTGTCTTTATTTTTCCATGCAGTTATTAAAGAAATTGAGTCCTTTGTTCTGAAGGGTTTCTTAGTGGTTGGGTTTACTGATAGTATCATCCCCAATGGACTCATTTACCATTCTCATTTTCTTACCATGTTTTCTATAAATTACTAAAGGTTTGATCAGACTCTGTGTTTGAAGAATAGTTCACAGGTGATGAAATTCCATCAGGAGATGTGAAAAACTGTCTTCTGATATGATCAGTATTGCTGATTTCTTGGGTCCATTAATTCAAGAGTTGCAAAATGGTGATATTCTGAATCTATCATTCTTCATTGATTTATTATGGCAGCTGAGATACTTCTCTTAGAAGAAACATCCCTTCATTAATAATTTTGTTCTCTGAGGATCAATGTTTTTTCCTCTATTTACTGGTTTTCAAAGCAGTAGATATGAAAGCAATCCTCCAAGAGTGACTGAATGCCCCCACAGCTATTCATCATTCATGTATTGTGGTTAATCGACTAATTGTCAACTTGAGTAGGGAATGCCCAGCTGAATTGAGTCAGCATGGTTCCAGGCTTGGAAGACTCGATTTAAAGGAGGATTGTTGTCAGAATGGTATAAAAGAAGCACTGTGAGGGAAGGATTTCAGCTGATCTTCCTTGGAGGAGCTTTGTTGCAACTGTTTTTCTTTGGAGGATTTTTGATGATTTTTTCTTCTAAAGAGCTTTGGCTGTTTTCCTCTTTGGGGAAGCTTCAATCCTTGTCTTCATCTTGGATGTCGTTTCCTGACTTCCAGTGCAGATCCCTCAGCCTTCTGAAACAGATCCTTCAGCCTTTTGGTACAGACACTTCAGCCTCCAGCACTGGCCCTTGGGCCTTTTTGATACAGAACCTTTGGTCTCCCATTGTGGATCTGCCAGCCTCCTGATATGGACTTGCACAGGATATGTTGCTGTGGGCTCCCAGCCTTGAACTGGATCCTTCAGGTCTTCAGCGCACAGACAGATGTTTTGCATTCTTCTACATCTGAATCTAGTAAGCATTAACTAATACATGGGTCTAAGAATATTTGATGAGTTTCAATCCATTGTAGCTCTTCTCATGGTTCATTTTTTCCTACTCTTGGCTTCTGGGAGGGAGCCTCTTCAAGTTGGCTTTGGAATTGACCATGTCTTCTAACAGACCTTTCATCAAGGTTGGAAGGAACCATAGAGGTTGGCTGCCATAATTTCCCTTCTTTTTTATGAAGCTCATTTCTGCTTAGGGTTCAAGGAGACTTCCTGAGGCCTCCAGTTACATACTTATAGCAGCTTCCTTCTGATAGTACTTGAGATGACCCATGAATATTGCCCTGACACAGCAATCATTCCTAATTGACCTTAGGATGTCTTTTTTCCATTAACCTGACAATTCAAATATAGCAACGAGTCATATTCATACAGACTAGGCTAACTGGAAAATTGTTCAGCATATTATCTCTCTCTTTTTCAACTCCTTGAGTCTCTTAGTCCCTTCAGATTCTGTTCCTCATAATTGAGGGAACAGCATCATCTTGAAAAACAAGTAAAAAGTAAAAACATATACTTTTTTTTTCATTTTTCATCTTAGTTTTCCTGATTCACTTCTGGGTGAGAGGGAAAAGTGAATAGTTTCATTTTATGAGCTTTCTGTACAATAGACTAAGGGGAATATACAGTGAAGGTGGAGTAATCCCATAATATATAAACTATGTAAAATAACGGGTGTATATAAATGTGCATTTATAAATAAAAGTATAAATTATACAAACAAAGCCCAAGTACACACTACATTTCATGGCCCAAATTACTTCACACCATTTCCATGGCAAATACTTCCTTGACTTAAGAGTAATGTATGATAAATTCTTATTTTGATAAATAACTCAAAAAAACCACTTGCAATAAAAGAGCTGGTTACATGTAGAGATCATGTTAAGTTAAATAAATTGGACATGCAAGTTTAAATATTGCATGGTTTCTCTTATAACCCCCCCAAATTCTAAATTAAAAACAAAATAAAAGGTAGGTAATAGGAAGTAGGGGATATTTCTCAAATGAGAAAAGGAGAGATGGAGGGGGAGAGCAGATGGAAAAAAAATGGGGAAAAAAAAGGAAATAAGCTTTTGTAAATGGGAAGGGGACCAAGAGTTAGAAGGAGCAAGGAGAGATAGGGGCACGGGACAATAGAAAATTAATATGTATTATGTACATGAATCAACTCCCCATGATAAATGTAATCATTATGTACTGTAAACAGGTGCTAATAAAAAAAGACCAGATTAAGTAGATTCTGTATTTATTCCAATCCCATAAAAGTTTCAAGGACAAACACAGTAAGAAACAGTGGCATTCCAGGACTGTGTCAGTAGCTCCAGGGATTGAGTTC